CATAAAAATGAATAAAGCATTAAACTTCCTGTTGTTTTCGTAGAGATTTTTAGGACAGAGACCAATATGCACTAAATAGACTTTCCAATCCAATGTTTCTAATTGATATCAATAAGTGATATTGAAATTGCAAGCTTTAAAGACACCGTAAACTGATTGTTGTAACTTGGACATGATCTACCACAATGAAATTTGCATGCCCATTAAACCCATACAGCAAAGATTTATTGATTTCAGGTATACACCATTCCATGAATATGAGCTTAGAGGTCATGCAATGTGTTTCTGATAATAACTGATGCCAATGCTTTATCGAGACTCAGATCAGAGAGAGAGAGAGAGAGAGAGAGAGAGAGAGAGAGAGAGAGAGAAAAGCAAAATGTAACAATGCTCATTTTCATCTGCGTGATGAGATTTGATGGTATTTACTGGATCTGAAGAGAGATACAAACAAAAGAAATTATTCTCTGATGAGACTGTACCTCTACGGATCTGCAGACATGCATAAAAGGGAAAAAAGTAGCATCTGGATTTGAAAATTTTTAGCTCACCCAAGCCAAAGGCTCATGTGAGCTTTTCTGATCAAAATTTATCTGTTTTCTGTCGATGATGTTGTCATCGTCGTAACATTTTTACAATTTCATCTTCTCTAGAGCCAATTTCAACCAAACTCAAGAACAGCAGAGCCATAATCAGTCATAATCGTCAAATAGTTTTTATTCAAATTGCTCAAATCATGACCCCCCCCCCCCTCCGCCCCAGGAGTAGGGTGGGGCCTCTATGGGCAATCAAAGTCTTACATAGGAGTACATTGGGAAAATCTGCAAAAATCATCTTCTGAAGGACAGCAAAGTCATGATTAGTCATATTTATACGGAAGCATCCTTAGATAGTGTAAGTACATGTTTGTTCAAATCATGACCCCTTGGGCGTATCAAAGAATTTAAGGTGGGGCTACAATTTGTTGATCAAACTTTTACATTGGAATATTTAGGAAAAAATCTGCTGATGAAGAACAAGAAGGGCCATCTTTGCTCAGGTGAACATTGTGGCCCACGAGCCTCTTGTTTTATCTTTAAATTTACAGAACTACATTTACTGATCTATGTATCTGATGTTTTAAAAACTTGAAAAAAATTGTGCTACAATCAAATCACTAAATTTTAAATTCTAAAACTTAATTTAAAACTGAAGGAAGAAAACATTCTGGAAAAAAATAACAAATTTTATTACAAGGTATTCAACCGAAAAATTTAATGACTTGTTTTAGTTAAGTAAACTTGTATACATGGTTTTATTATAAATCAACCCAAGTAGTATTTGTAGCGTTTTGAAAGAATCTTATTTCACATGTTAAATTTCATGAACCATTTTAAACAATATTTTTATGTATCTTAGTATAGTATACCTTTGTTTCAACTGTTACTAAAATCAGAACAAATATGTGAAGAAAGGGTTTTGAAAGAATTTAGCAGAGAGTTCTATTTTAGATACCATAGTTCGTTGAAATTAAAAACCAAAACAACGAATAATGTATCTAAGTCTAGTGTGCATTTTACCAAGTTCCACTGAGCTCGGACTTAATATGTATAGGAAGTAGCACTTGAAAAAAGTTTACTGACAAACATACAAACATATATAGAGCTAGAGGGATGGTCGACAGACACCATGCCCTTCCTTAAGCTCTAGCTTTGGTCCTTGACCAAATAGAAATTAAAAAAAATGAAACGCTGTATAAAACAGCAATTGAAAACTGTTTATTACATATATATTTGATAGCGTAATTTTTTTGCTCTTTCTAATTCAAGAAAAGAGTAAATACTTATATAGTCAGATTCCTTTTTCTATTTGAAATTTGATATCTTATAGAAAGAATCTTATTTGTCATAAATACTATTATCCCTGGTCTGTATTTTCAGGATAACCCCTGTACACAAGGATATTGGAATAGAATGCAAAGTACGTGTAATGTGGGTAAGTAAAATTATATCTTATTAAACATTTCATTACGTAGTCTATTTACAGCCTTTATATAATCTATACAAGCGCAAACACTTCATGACACTATTTATTATGTAGTCTATTAATTGTCCTTAGATAATCTATACAAATTCAAACAGTTCAAACACTTCATATTATGTGGATTTGAAGCCGTATTCACCGAAGGACAGTGCGCGGAGCGTCAGTGAGGCTCTGCCTCGGTCAATATTGATATATTTTTTTTGTGAATATCAAACCATGTTAAGCACAGAAAGAGTTTGTTTGTTAGTCTGTATAACGCCCATTCGAAGATTTTTCACTCAGACGCCATCAGTTGCCGCTGGAGGGCTACAAATTTAGACCTGTACTCGTCACTTTCGACATTTGAGCAGCAAGGGATCTTTTTCTAGCCAGCACCTACAGCGACACATGACCTCAAATTATACGGTCTCATCCGAAGGACCGGTCTCCACGTCCCGCACTGGGATTCGAACCCGCGACGTAAGGATCAACTCCTTACTCTGTGACTCTAGAGCAAAGGCTCTAACCACTGCACCACGGGGGCGAAGAGAAAGAGTCCATAATTGTATAATATTCATCTCACTTGAGGTTGTATTCATCGGAGGGTACTGCGAGTGCATCAGCGATTGTGACGTCATAAACTAAGACTCAAACAACCTTGTAAACAAGGGTTGTGACAGTTGGAGCCAGCTGAACACAAGCACCTAATTTTTTATCAATAAGTAGGAAATAAAGCCATAGAGCGAAAATTCTTATCCTCCTATACATAAATACACTGTACAGGTGTCTGTCATATACTCAGGAAAAACATTTTGCAAGATTGAATTATTATATAAACAATTCAAAGGGAAATGAAGACTTACATAACCGAAGGAAAACACGGAGGACATCAATTGTAATCTTAACATATAAAATCTTTATGCGATGGAAGTTCGTTAATGAAAATGGTGTCACAATATGGCCATCAAAATGGTGTCACAATGTAGCCTTCTATATGTTATTTATTCAATACCGGACCGTTCGCTTCGTGATCGGGAGGCCCGAGTTCGATTCTCGTTCGCCGTTCAGACCTACGACGTACATGTAAACAAAGGTACATAGGATGAAACTCTGAAAGGTGACTGAATGTTTACTGAAAAGTAACGGAATGGCAGCACTTTTCAATTCAGTCACCTTTCCAGACCTTTCAGTGACCATTCAGTTGACTGAATGGCAGAGTTTTATCCTGGGATAGTGACTGTTCCTTTGCCAAGAGCCTGGCATTAGAAGTGAAAGTTAATGGTCTTTCGAATGAAACCGTATATACCAAGTTTCCATGTCAATGTAGGCGTTAGCACAGAAAAGAACCCTCATCGCTCAATGGCTCTGGGTGCAGAGTAAAGGTCTAAATTTGAAGCCCCCCACCGGCATACGGTGCTCTGTATATGACTGAAAAATTCTCGAATAGGACGTTAAACAACAATCAATCAATATTCAACTATGTATAATTAAACAATTATGGACTCTTTAGGTTGTTAATAAGGTTTGATATTCACCTGAAAGCTTCGGTAAATATTGATAATTTATTTTTCTGTTGAATATCAAACCCTATTAACCACCTAAAGAGTCCATAATTGTATAAAATCTAATGATCCCTTCTTCCCAACGCCACCCGATCCGTACTTCGATTAGCGATATAAATTTTACATAAGTATGAATTTTTTTAATACAATATCATCAATCTTTATTTATAACTCAGAATTGGTTTTAGTGATTTGTTATTTTTGAAAACCTCTCTATATATGGTTTTTGAGAAGAAACATCACCTACTTCAGTGAATTCTGATGATAATTCATTATTTTGTACATCTTGTACATATGTCTAGCATTGTCACCCATTCGTCAATCCAAGCACGTTCTAGAACTCTTAGAATAAAAAAAAAATCATTTACATGTATATAAATGTTACAAATATGTATATATGTTACAAATAATCCAAACAAATGAATGTTACGGTTCCCCTAATTATTCCAGTCACATATGGGTTATACTTTCTGTGGAAATACGTAGTACAAGTTAAATCACACTCCCTACAACATATGGGACTTTAGGACGACAAATAATATGTTCTATTAATTGTATATATCTTATGATGATAAACCAGTATATTTACCATGTTCATTATTGGGATGAGGTCGGTAATTAGCGTTACCCGAAATTCCTCGGTATCTTACATAGATATCATTCCCAGATTACGTATCATCTCTTAACGATTATATTTGTGTATACAAAGTTCAATCAGCCGTAGTAACAAATGTTTTCGATAGTAGTTGCCGATTATCCGCGCCCTAGGGTGCATGTTTTCTTTCGTCGATCCAATCGGCATGGCAGCATAACATGGCTTCTTTGCTCTAACAAAGATGGCGGGTATTTTCACTCTGTCGTGACGTCATGACAATTGAGCCCGACGTCAATTTAAACCAGAGCAGATAGCCAGTTTGTCAGAGGGGCTTTACAACTCGTATCGCCAGCATGTCTGGGAGCGAGAGCCGCTGGGTAATTACTATTGAACATTAGTTGATTAGTGGGAGTTGATGAATTTTGGGATAATATTTTATTTTTACTTTTAATAATTATATTGAATTGTTCTTTGGGAGGAAATTATTGGGAGGTGAAATAACTCTCCCATAACTATCAATTGTATTGTGAAGGGACTCCCAGTATTTTGGGAAATACTTAAATACTTTTGTAAATTTATTTATAATTCCCTAAAACTTAATTCTCCCATTTGAGAATATTTATTCCCATTTCTAATTGGGAGAGATATAATAAGAATAAGAGAAATAATATTTCTACGGGAGCAAGAAATAGGGATAATCATTCAAAGAGATATTGCAAATTAAATACAACAAGAAATAATAAATTTTTATACATTTTAATCCTGACTTAGAGTTCTTTTGTCCAATATACAGACTTGGGAGACCCACAAGCTGCATAAGGGAGAAACCCCTGAACGGCAACATGAATACGAATATCTTATATCAGAATTTTACAGGCGCAATAATCACCACCACAACAACAACAGAGCCAGCAACAACAGACACCATTTTCACAATGACGACAACAATTGCACCAACCACAGAAAGAATCACAACAACAACAACAGCATTAACAACTAGCCCAACCACAAACACTATTTCCACAATGACAACAACAATTCGGTCAGCAACAACCGATATCATTACCACAACCACAACAGCAGCAGAGCTAACAACTAAAGACAGTGTCTCCACAACCATAATAACATCAGAGCCAACCATGACAGATGCCATCTCCACCACATTAACAAACGCAATCTCTACAACAACACCAGAGACAACAACCACAACACAAACCACAAAAACACAAGGTGGAAACGTGTGTTTTGACTGCAATTGTGCATTAAATACTTCGAGTGTGACGATGGGGATGTTCTTGCTAGGTAACAACAAAACTGTCCTCTGTGTCATGGATACAGTAAATAGTCATAAATGGACGGTAAGTAATGTATGTCATTTGAGGAATGTAACTAGAAGCCTGGGTTCAAAAATCCTATGTTATTGCCCATAATAGGTTCGCTGTATGGTTGTTAGGTGATTAGCTTTAGATAGTAAATATTCAGAGAATACTAGTCAAAGGCAACAGAATATCTATGCATTTTCTTCCCACTCAAACCAAAGCTATTCTGAGGTGATATAATGTTTTACTTCATCTACAAATATACGATAAACGAAAAAAATATGTTGAATAATATTGTTTGACAGGTAAAGGTTGATAAACACCCCCTTTTAAAAAAAAATCAAGAAATATGGAAATGAAACAAAACATTCATTTAGAAAAAAAATACGATTACGTGTCCAAATCGAAGTGTTTCCGTTTCATCTCTGACCTGAAATTCACTAGAGATGAGACTTTGAGATGAGAGATGAGATTTTTTTTCGATTGGTAAAATTTATATTTCAGATCATTCAAAGGCGGTCCTCTCCTGGGGGTCAGAGTTTCGACAAGAATTGGTCAGACTACGAAAACGGTTTCGGGTCTTTGAATACAGAATTTTGGATTGGTATGGCTACAGAAACTATTATGATGGATAAATATATTCATTCTTGATAGCATAGAACTTTGTACTTTGATAAAGAAGTAACACAGGGCAGTTTCTATTGATCCCACTCGAATAGTTTACTTTGTTCTTAATGAACATTATATTGCATAAATATTGCACGTAGGTGGTAGCTGAGAGTAAAGTTGAAAAATTTCACCGCAGGAACACCATTGTCAAACGAGGCATTAACATTTTTAATGTCACTTTCAACTATATGCAATATGTATTAAATTATTATACTGAGTGTTTTATACAATACATATAACCGTGAACAGTGCACACATAAATTATGCGCAGTCAGCATTTTTTGACTATCATCTGTTGTCAAGCAATGTTTGACTGTTGCTATTTTCTATCACGCTGGAAGGCGTGGTTTCATCATTAAGAGCGTAATATTTTTATGTTTCTTAATGATTCAGATTCAAAAAGTATTTTACATGAAAGTTATTTATAAGCAATTTTTTCACTGCTTTCAAATTATTGTAACAATGTTTAATTGACAATTCGTTGTATTGACACGTATAGATTTGAAAACTAACTTTCGAATTTTTTTGGACAAAGTTCTTTATACAAATACATGTACTTGGTTGAACTCTTAATAGGAAATGCAGCTGATTATGCTTCAGAAGATCTCTGTCCTTGTGCAACATTTATAAGTTTGATGGTACATTATAGTATGATGCCTACATAATTGGTCGAATTGCAGCCCACATCGTCCTATTTGTACTATTATCATTATTGTCATTAGATAGGAGTTACACATATAAAACATAATTTTTGTCTGGAATTAAAGAAAACAAACTTTGAAATACTGGTTATATTCGTTCTTATGTGATACTAGTATACTTATTGTTTGTACTTTCATAACATTATGATGTCATGACATGAAATAAAAAAAGATGGTTGCTTAATCAGACGTTGCTGTTTTTTTTGTTATCTGTTGGAATTTAATTTATTGGTAGGTAATAAGTATCTACACGAGTTGACGTCGTTGTATGGTAACACACATCTACGCATTGATATGACCACAGCCCAGGGTAAATCAGGCTTTGTAGAATACACATTCTATATCGACGATGCCTCACAAAATTATACCCTGCACACCTCTAACTATGTCGGGATGATGGGTGAGTAACAATAAAACAAAACAAATAAAAAAATAAAATAAAAAATGATAATGACTAAATTTTTGAGGCTTTTGTCATGTCTAATTTGTGATCCATGTATAGGATATAGGTTGTACAAACGATCTTTCATGCACTAAAACATTTTGAAATGCATGCTTGAAATTCTGAGTATATTCGTTGGTTCAGAAGTCTTCATATTCTTCTTTCTCCCAACCTTTTCTTTACCAAAAAACACCCAAAATTCCTTATTTCAATCTTTTTGGCATGAAGCCAAGACAAGATCGGACGCAACGTTAATTATATTTTTCCATACAGGAGATCCTTTCATCTCTACCGGAAGTTGCACGGAGTGCGCAGATGGAATGAAATTTACAACCAGGGACCGTGACAATGATTTGGACAATGCTCATAACTGTGCCTTGCTTAGTGGCGGAGGGTGGTGGCACAATGCGTGCCAAAGGTCAAATCTGAATGGACAGTTTGGACAGTCCGATTATTTGCACGGAATAAACTGGAATGGATTCGTGAGCCTTTCTGTTGTCGAAATGAAAGTTCGGAGACCGTGATCTACAACTAACGTGTATAGATACAGCGAGAGAAAAAAAATGAAGTATCAATTTCATGGCAAATAAGAACTTAATTGGACCTTAGAAGGAAGCAAATTAAAACAGTAAATTAAATACTGTATAATATTGTTTGTGAAGCAACTGAAATATTGTTATTTTCTTCTACCGAATATTATCAAAGGAAACATTTTAACTGTTAAAACACTGTTGGTATTCCTGTCAAATCAATTAGTAGACTTTTGCAAGAAGCACTGACTTTTACAGTCGACGGCTAACTTTGACATTTAAACCTGCTTTCTGTGCGGAGGTACGGAATTGATAATAGATAAGAAAACCTTAACAGTGGTACCGTTATAGGTATTTTGTTTGGGACCCTATCATGATTAACTTGAATGGGATCAACGCAAGAGATGATGGGTGGCAGAATTACATAGCTTAAATTATTTATTAGTTAGGGTTAGTATCTCCTTTCACTCTCATTTTCTGAAGGAATCAAATAAGGAATAAAAATTTTCTGGAAGTAAAACTAAGCAAGAGTTTGGTCAATATGGGAAAGGAGGGGGTTAAGGGTAGGGTGGTTGCCGTTCCCTTCCTAGACAACGTAATATGTGCTTTGAAAGGGCCCATTGTTACATTGTATCGTTTAATTAACTGTGAAGCTTAAAATTTATATCGCAAAAGATTCTCCATATACCGCCCTAGTGTAAAAATAAGCCATCCATTGTAAAAGTCTCGCAAAAATCCATTACTCCCCTTCTTTTTTTCTGTTTGATTTTTGTCTCCTAAATGAATCTGACATACCTGTAATAAATGTTTGGTATTGTATTTGCGTAAGAAAACCCAGTTTCCAAATACTAGACAAGAACATAAACTTTTCAAGCAACATCAAAACTCTATGTCATCATTTTAAAACCATTTAATTTTGTTGGGTTAGTGAAAACAATATCTCTTACAGAGGAACCGACACAGTTTTCATAACAATATACTGCCTGTTCATCAAAATGACAAATCATAATGATTGAATTTCATAAGAATATTTCAATATTACAGTTGAAATACTTTTAAAAACAACCAAACAAAACATATAAAAGACTCTTACTAAAATTTCATCGAGTTTTAGGATCATGAAAAAACAGGAGCTAAGTCACTTCTAAAGTTATGCCATATTTCATCCCATCATGTACATGAAATTATTAGTGATTGCATGTCTGTATTTTTTATTAAATATTCTAATCGAACCCATTGTGCACTAACATTTGAAAAGTCTTTATACATAATGGAAAATATACTTACGGTTCACATTTGAAGTTTTGAGTGCTTGCCTGTCCATATCTTGAGTGCTGTATGCATCGATATATCTCTTTAAGATATTTATTAATACAAAATAATAAATATCTGTATATAATTCCTTTAATAACTCAAACTAAAGCAAATGCAGCACTTACGGCCACTTCCTATATAATACTTTTTCTTCAAAATCACGAGCGTATATTCTTAATCTATGTATATATACATGTATATGCACAACGAATAATCCACGTTGTTAAATTATTTTTTAAGATGTTTCAATGATGTCCTCGGAAGTGATTAAAAAAAGCTGTATAGATTTCTTTGATTGATTGTATGTTGTTTACGTCCCATTTGAGAATTTTTCACTCATATAGAGACGTCACCATATACCCGTGAAGGGCTTCAAATTTTGAACTTTTTTCGGGACTCGGGGCCTTTGAGCAGTGAGGGATCTTCATCGTGCCAACGCCTGCCGTGACACGGGGCCTCGGTTTTTAAGGTCTCATCCGAAGGACCCGCAACTTTCACTTCAAAGTGCTGAGGGCATGGCGAAGGAACAGTTACCACCCATTTTTTATCGACTTAGGTCATTCTTGGTCGAGATTCGAACTCACGACCTCCCGATCACGAAGCAAGCGCTCTACCGACTGAGCTACCGTGTAGATTTCTTTGAAGCGAGCGTCCAAACAAGGGAACTGTGTAAACTAGCCGAGCAAAATGACTCTGGTTCAACAAGAAAATGAAAATCTTAATCTCAATTATAACACAATTTTCTTTGATATTTCAGTTAATGTTAATATATACTAAACATAAAATTTCCACAATTTGCAAAATTTCACAAGTATTTTAAAAAAATTATAAATTATACCTGTGTGTAGAGGAGGCAACTGCTGCAATGATGGAAATTTGATATCGTTTTTCAATCCGCATATAAATACATGTGTATAAGGCAACTTCTCTGTCTTATATTCGTAGGGGGTGTAATTTTCCTATATCAACTTAATGTTCAAAACGTCAAAAAAAAATTTCTTATTTTTAACAAATATCAAATGTACTTTTGAACATTTTTTGTTATTGAAAACTGTGATATAATTATTAATACTGAGATTTTCAAGCAAACCATTTATTGTGATGCAATAATTGTCAACAATTCCACCTGCACGTTCCTATCAAGTTCAGAAACTAACATCCAAAAAGGGTTTTTAGAATAGATGTCCCTCCTTGCAGTACACAAAGATAAACCCTTGACTCATTTAGGTGAAAACTATGAAACTGATTTCCTGCATGGAAAACCATATGAATTTGATATACAATAGAAAACTTAGGCTAACATTTCTATTTGTAGGATTAGTCGGAGAAAAAAATTGTCTAAAAACATAAATCTCTTTGAGTCTTATGGAATATCCATATCATTTTCGATTTTGTTGCCAATTGTTAAATGGAAAATTCTAGACGTCATGTAACTATATGAGTTTGGGCACCTTTAAATGCTATTTTATTATATATTTCATTTTATCCCCCTTCTCGATAAAAAATCAAATTTTATTTCAGAAGATAAAATTAGACTTCAAAAATAGGAAACATTGAATTACATGTAGTTGTCATTTTTTTTTCTTTATATTGAACTTATTCACTAAGAATTTCAAAGCAAGATAAAAAAATTAATGATCTGATTAAGTTTGAACTTTAAGGATATGATTACCAGAATTAATGAACAAAAACTCGGGTCTCAAATCTACAGCCAGTTATAATATGTGTTTGAAATTCTTCTCCGGCTGTGGCTTAAATTTAAGAATTTCAGCATATACTCTTCCGGTTTGACTAAGGGCATAGACCTCTTGCTCAATATCCAGCTTTTTGGCAGTGAAATTGACTAGCTGTACATGTAATAAAAACATGTCCATGCTATTGTACACAATAGACCTGTATAATGTATCGAATTCTCCCTCGGTTCTTCAAATTAGAGTAGCGTTTGGTTGTCTGACTGGGACAACCATGACTTAGCGGAGAAACCAAAACATGCCGACCTCCATCCAATTTTGAATGTAAAATGTATTAGTTATTCCCAATAGAGAAAAACTAATAGACATATGTGATAGTGCGAAAGCCCTGAATTTATCATTCATTGATAAAAAAAAATTACGAAGTTTCCGAGGCATGTACGTTGTATTGGAGATGGACCGTCAACACTTGTCAACAGCTTCCTGTAATTATACATGTAGATATAAATTGATATCGTTGTCGTTTCTACTTCTGAAGCATATTAAGTCCAACACAATACAGTGTCTTAATTGCATATTTGTTAGGCTTTTTTTCAGGAACAATCAACATATTGTTTACATGTTGTTACGATTGTCCAAGAAATCCCGCAAGATTTGTACATTTTCTGACTTTTCTCAAAAGAGCGCACTAAGAAATACTCTTCCATGGTGGAAATAGAAAGTATTAATCAGTTATATGCTGATAAAATACGAATATCAAATTACATTACAGAACATAAGGTCGAATCTTACTCTGCTGCCAATTTTAGTAAAATTTTATCCTTTTTTTTACCTAAATATATACTAGGTTTATCACTATTTGCAAGTGAAGCATGAATGAATGCATGAATAAATGAACTAATTCCTGGAAACTCAAAACATATTGTTTAGTCATCAGTTTATCGACATAACGTTTGACTCGGTAACCGATTAAGAGTTAAAAATCAACTGTAACTTAAATAACAATAATTCATATTTATGATAGAAATTTCATATCGTGTATACACTTGTATGTGAAACTGTTGTAGCAAACACATGCATTAAATGGAATGCACACTGATACATGCTACAAATACGAGTTTTCTCAGAGTCGGCCATTGTCCAGTATTACTGATATTTACAAAATTACGTTAATCATATTTTTTTCTATGATCTCTATCTCTGCTTTGCATTTCCTAGGTTGCTAATGACCTATGAATATAAATTTATTTCTATGTTCAAATATCCCTGACATCATACTGACTATATGTTTTGACTGGTATAGAAAACACATTGATTATGGTGATCAGAAAAATCTGAATAAAATGCATCGTTTGAAATTACAAGAAAATAAATAACCTTATCTTTAAACACTTGTGCAGGATCTAAATCTACAGGATAAATGGTAAAAAGCTACAGAGAGTTAATGGTGATGCAGATAGAATTTTAAAAATCTGGCATTATTTATAAAATTGTATTGAAAACGGCTGATAGAAAAAAGTAATATATCTTCAGAAATTACTGGGGTGAAACCTGTAGGACCTCCAAAACAACAGAGGTGGGATCAGGTGCCATGGAGGAGTGAGCATCCCCTGCCACCCGGTCACACCTGCCGTGTGCTCCTTGTCATGATCGGGAAATAACGAAGAAATCCGTCGACAATTCGGTGTGTAAATCATGGCCTAACAATAGGTATGAAAAACGTCAGTAAGCATTTGACTCAATGATAAATTATATTTGCTGACAAGGTCATTGTATCGACCATAGAACTTACGATATGATGACTTTAAACGAGACTGCTGATATTCTTGTTTCATCAACTTGTTTGTCAATAATTTACCTCGTTTTAGAAATTGTACATACGTAGAGCATGCTCTTGCTTATCGAATCAACTCGAATCTTGAGATATAAACCCCGTATGCAGGTAATGAAGGTATATTGCTGCATAAGTAAGGGAAGTTGACGACTGAAAACTTAAAGTCATCACGTTTATCATAAAGCTTGGTTGTTAGATTACCATTACAGTCTTTTTCAAATAAAATAACCAAATATGAAACAAATGTGTCAGACTCTCTGGTATCTTTTATCTCAAGCTCACCAGGATATATCGTATCGACGTAATAATGGAAATAACCATTGTTAATTGAGAATACGTCGTCGATATATCTAAATGTCGAGTTGAAGGCCACATCAAGTGTTTTCTTCTTTTCATGTATAAGATTTTGGACAAATTCTGCTTCATGAAATATATGGAGATAACGAACAGTATTCAAGCTCAAAAGTCCATTAAACAATACAAAATAGGAGCAGAGCAAACACGGACCTCCAAACATCAGAGGTGGGATCAGGTGCCATGGAGGAGTGAGCATCCCCTGCCGACCGGTCACACCCGCCGTGTGCTCCTTGTCATGATCGGGAAATAACGGAAAAATCTGTCGACAATTCAGTGTGTAAATAATGGCCTAACAATTAGTATGAAAAACGTCAGTCAGCATATAAATACAAAAATATGAATACAAAAAAAGGTCTGCTAATAACGAGGCGCAATTGGTACCCATGGATATTCCAATAGATTGTTGGAAGACCTAGTCTCCAAAACCCACATAGATATTGTCAATCACAAACTCAAGCATCTTTTTAATGTCAACTTCAGAGTACTTGTGTGAGCAATCAGAATGTTTTTTAACAAAATAATTTTGCAAATGACCAATGACAAGGGAAGTAAATTTACGAGTTCCATTTTTATGGAAAAAGCAGCTGTCAATGATATCAAAAAGCCTGGACTTTAATTTATCGTGGGGAATGGGTGTGTATAAAGTTGAAAAGTCGTAAGTTATTTAGCTGTTGATTTTGGTAAAATCTTGTGATTTCAAATTTTCCAAAAGTTCCTTGGAATTTGTAAGTATCCACATCTGATTTACACCACTTCTCGAATATATTGTTGCAGAGTACGCTTGAAGTTTCTTCTTCACTACTGTTTATATCTTAGTGTGGAGTAAATAAAGAGATATAAAATCTTATGTTAATTTTACTATAGCAGAACATCTGTTTAACGATTGCTTGATTGAATTTATGTTGTTTGACGTCCCATTTGAGAATTTTTCATTCATACAGAGACATCAACGTATGCCGATGAAGGGCTTCAAATTTAGACCTTTACTCGGCACTCAGGGCCATTGAGCAGTGAGGGTTCTTTATCATGCCAAAACCTACTGTGACACGGGGCCTCGATTTTTAAGATCTCGTTCGAAGGACCCGCAAGCGCTCTACAGACTGAGCTACTGTAATGGTTTAGATCTTCGGAAACAGTATATATTTCAATTTTAAAAAATGAGAGAAATGTATTAGTTAAATGTGACAAAAAATGGTTTCAGAATCTGGGCATAATACTTCTTAGTGTCGGACGCTTAGCGAAGGAACAGCCACTACTTATGTTTACGTCTTAGGTTTGACGCAGCGCGGCAAACAAGATTCGAATCCCGGACCTCCCGATCACGAAGCCAGAGCCATACCACTAGGCTACATTGACCGTCATGCCTATAACAAAGTGCCAGGTAAGAACAACTTTGCTTCGTTATAATCGTAGTTCGTTATATCCGTTTACAAAATATAAATCACTGGGAACGATAATCACTTCAGATTTAGGAATGTCTAAAAGAAAAAAGATGATTATTCTCAAATGTTTAATGGCCTAAACTATAGAAAAAAGAGAAGATTGTATTTAGAAAAGTAAATGTTAGCAACCTTCTATATTATTTGTAAACTTTTTTTTTTTTAACAAATATAATTCTTCAGTTGCGGTGAAAATTTTGAATGATTTAGAGGACAAATAAGTTAATTTCAACTTTGCTTGCATAATAAATTTTATTAAAGATTTTTCCTAAAACATTCTTGTTTCTCTTTTAAGCATTTAAAAGAGACTGTAACAAGGTCTTTCAAATTTACAACCAAAGCCACCAAAACCGACGCAACGTTGTCTACCGCTCTCTGCAGATCGTCTACTTTTGATTTGAACGCTTCCCTGGTTTCCTCTTGTAGGGCCCATGTATTGACGACACTGATATCGATCTTGACCACCCCGAATTCGTTCCAGTCCTTTCTGCCAATCGGGAATATTTAAGTTATGGCCACTATCGTCATCACCTTGATCGCTAGCTTCTTGCCGATGATAGTCTAGGATACGTTGAATGCAATTCACTTGGGAATCCACATTTTCCCCTAAATGACGGGAAAACAACATATAAATATTTAAAAAAAAATGCGTTGGTATATGAATTTATGCAGTTTTAAATTGATATTACTTAGAAAGAATGCTGATTACAATGAATAAAACATGTCTAAATAAAAAAAAAATAATTGATCATAACGTACAGTTTAAGTCAGGATTTGAGATATAAAAGAAAAAAAATCCATTGAGTTTCTTTGTAAAAACATTTTCCTTTCCTTTTTATTTTTACTTGAAAATACAGGAAGTAGGACAAAATCAATTTAATGGTAAATTGTATATACTTTTTAATCAGATGGATCTATAAGGGTTCAAAGAAACTGTCCATAGAGAAGTTATGGTCAACTAAAAAGGTGTGTAACGAAGGTCATTTAAGTATAATTCAAGTTACAAAGTAATTCTAGTCTATCTCTAATTAACTGTGTCTTTTGTTGAAATGTTTATAGAGATTTGGCTGAGGTGATTTGATTTTAAGAACGATTCTACTTTCTTTACAACTCGAGTGATTGAATTGCTAACAATTATTCAGACGGAGGTTAAGATTTACATTTGACTATGAAAGTAAAGACGAAAGGAAATGTGTCTCATTTAGAACTATTGTTTACAACTTATTAAATTCACCTGTTTCTGCTCGCGATCTGTAATAATCTGTGGAAGTATAAATGGCGTCACTAGTTTCCCCCAGTGGTTTCCAATCCTCTATCAATCCATTACTTCGCAAACTATTGTAAACTTTCAGAAAACCCTTTTCTGTAAAATATTTCCGGAAGTACTCGTGTTCAGCTCCAAAGATATCTCTTTTTTCTCTATTTCTGCAATATGAATTGCTTAAAAATTAATTTTAAAAGAAACAAAGTATAGAAATTCTATAGTTCAGATCACACCGAGTGATTACTGAACTTTCAAAAATAGTGATATGTTGCATATTGTTGCATATTGTAGACAGCATGATGCATGTGAAAACATGGTTCAGACTTGTCAAACCTTTCAATTCAACTATCAATAATTTCGGCACGCAATCCAATATACATGTACATTGTACATACATTAAACGTTCCTGTTGGATAACACGAATTTCGTGAATTCTAATTATGGAGAGACCTCGAATGTTATATTTCAATGAATATGTGAACCATGCTGCCTGACCACACCTTTATGTGCGTGAAAGATGTTATAATCCATATTTGAGAGAATTTCTGTGAGCAGAATAATTTTTCAAAAATTTTGCAATTATGATACCCCCTCTCAAAACTTGAATAAAGATTTGATAAGTTAATGTCTGGTACCGAATTCCCTCTTTAGTCAGCAATCAAAGTGGACTCTGACCAAACAGCATTTATTTAGAGACAGAAACTATGATATGTATTTGTTTACTTTACGATTAGCACCCCAAGTCAGACCCGTAGCAGCAACGATTTCAAAAGGGGGGGGGGGAGTTCCCACAAAATCTGACTAAAAAGACCAAAAAGTGTGGGGGCCAACTTCCAAAATAATCTGACTAGCAAAGGAAAAAAACCTAATAACTGTCCAAATCCTTGAGCTTGCCAGTGTTCGACCTTACAGCAACCGTCATCTAAGGGAAATTTTGTGACAATACAGCAAACTAAATCTTTATTATATCACTGTAATCAATGAATGTATTAAAACTGCTGAAGTAAACCTGATTTCATACTGTTTCATATTTTTCATTGTTTAAGCATATTTCGATAGTCTTCAGGTTATGTTTAATTTAATTCATAATTTAATTAATTAACTTAAAAACAAATAACATATTTATGATAAAAGTTGCATCGTGTATACACTTGTACGTGAAGCTGTTGTAGCAAACACGCGTATAAAATAAAGTGCACAATAATTAGGAGTTTTCTCAGATTCGGCCTTTGTCTACTATCATTGGTATTTACTAAAGGTATTTTAATTATATTTTTCTTATCTCTCTTTCTGCTTTGCATTTACCAAGTTTTCTGTGACCTATAAACTTATTTCTATGCTCAATTATCTGACACATCATATTGACGACTTGTTTTCACTGGTATGGAAAACATATTGATCATGATGATCAGAAAGATCTAGATAAAAATACCTCGTTAGAAATTAAAATAATATAAAATTTTTGCTTTAAATACTACAAACTACATATAGATTGCAAAAAGCTAGATATAAAAGAGAGATAATTGTGATGCAAGTAGAATATTTTTTAAAAAAAATCTGGCATTTATTATGAAACTGTATTGAAAACGGCTCATACTACGGGTGAAACCTTGTAGGGCTATTTCATTCAAGGAACTATCGAAAAATGTCGTAGTCGATTTTATTTTTGGGCAAAATGAACTTAAGATATAAAAAAAACTTAACGTAATTTTACTACAGTGAAACACGCTTATCACAAATGCCAGGGACGGACGATTATGCTTCGTTATAAACGTAATTCATTAGATACCCATTAAGTTTACAATATACTGGGAATGAAAATTAATTCAGATTTAGAAATGTCTGAAAGAAAAAGACGATTACTGTCAAATGGTTAATGGTCTGAACTATACGTAGAAAGATTTTAGAAGTAGTAAATGTTAGCAACCTTTTATATTGTTCGTAAACATTTTTTTAACAAATAAAATTCTTCAGTTGCGGTAAAATTGTTAAATGATTTAGAATACAAGCAATTAAAACTCAAGTTTGCCGACAGAATAAAATTTATTTAAGATATTTCCAATTACATTCTTGTTTCTCTTTTAAGCAATTAAAAGAAACTGTAACAAGTCTGCCACTTCGTCCTCGGCTCTTTGGAAAACTTCTACTGTTGCTTGGGAGGCTTCCCCTGTTTATTCCTCTTTTTGAACTCATCATGGTCTATGTATTGATGATATCGAGCTTGGCTATCCTGAATTCGTTCCAGTCCGTTCTGCCAGTCGGGAATGTTTAAGTTATGGCCACTATAGCCACCACCATGATCGCTAGCTTCTTGCTGACGATAGTCTAGGATACGCCTTTTTTCTCTATCCCTGCAATGAGTTACTTAAAAATCATTTTTAAAAAAAAAAAAAATTATTTTTAAAAAAGTCAAATTTAGAAATTCCAAATCACACTTAGTGAAATACTGGACTTTTAAAAAGTGATATGGTGCATATTATTGCATGTTGTAGACGACATGGTGCATGTGAAAACATGGTTCAGACTTGTCAAAACTTTCAATTAAACTATCACTAATTTCGACACACAATCAAAAATACATTGTACATGCATTAAACGTGCATGTTGGATAACATGAATTTCGTGAATTCTAATTATGGAAAGACCTCGAATGTGATACCATTCCGAGGAATATGTGAATCATGCTGCCCGACCACACTTTTATGTGCGTGAAAGATGTTTTAATCCATACTTGAGAGAGTTTCTGTATGCAGAATATTTTTTCAAACATTTTGCAATTATGATACCCCCTCTCCAAAATTTAATGCAAAATTTGATAAATTTATATCTTCTGGAACCTAATACTCTCTTTATTAAGCAATCAAAGTGGACCCCTGACCAAACATAACATTTATTTAGACAGAAACTATGAAATGTATTTATTTACTTAGCGTTCAGCATCCCAAATAGCATATGATGATTTGCCCTCAAAACTGGTATTAAAATTTAGAAAATTAAATATATAGTAAAGCCGATAAGCTTGTGACGTAACAGCCTATACGACTTAAAGTATTTTTTATCCAATCAAATGACGCGTTACAAACTTAATTTAAATCATATCACTATAATCAATGAATGTATTAAAACTGCTAAAGTAAAACTAATTTCATAACATTTCCTATTTCTCATTGTTGAAGTATATTCGAAGTCTTCAAGTTATGATTAATTTAATTTATAATTTAATTTGCAGAATTGAAAATATCTACTTAGTAAAAAAGCAAATGCATCATATACTTATAAAAATACATTTTATCTACTAACCAAACATTATAAAGAAATTTTTGGATATCAACCATATTTCACCTTTTAAACTTAAACTTAAATTCGTCATTGAGGGCACTCGTAAGTACTCCATTGTCATCGTCAATCTTCTCTGAGAATGATGCACCTTGGAAAATAGATACAGAAATCGTATAATCAAAAAACATCTAAATTAATGTTAAAGAATAAAAAAGATGGTAGTTGTCTCTCAGTATTGGAATGTTCAACATACTTTCAACGTTGAATTAAACGATTAAGAAAACTAAATCATTTAAATAACGTCTATTTTTAAGACTTGAAAATACACCTCTGTTCCTGACTTCTAATTGACGTGACCTTAGAGACACGCACCTTAGAATGGATCGTGTTTGTGAACATACAGAGATACTATTTATGAACTTAACAATACAGATCAGGCTGTTTGTAAAAATCCTGTACTTAACATCCATAATGTAAGAGGGTTAGATAATTTCATATTTAGTCTAATACTAAAAGTACAATTCTATCAAGCATTAAATAAATTAGAGACATTTACGTTTTTCGACTTAAATTCACATAATTACATGTACAAACAAGATTTAACTTCTGTCATATGTTGATAAGTGGTACCGGTTTAAACTATCAACTTCGAAAAATGAATCTATGACTACCGGTAGGTGTTCAACATTGAATTAACTTTGTTTCTGCATTCACATTTCTTTCGGAAATCACCTCTCATTATCAATAAAATTAATAATATCAACATTTACTAAAAAAAAAAAAACAGGTGTAGAAATTTTATATTTTGTTTTATATTCATATATAAACAATCACTCTTTGGTAATTTTAGGCATATTTTAGTATGACAATACCCCAAACGTATAAAGGTTAATAATTTTGCAAAACGTTTTATATGCAAGCTTTTTCCTTTGCAATTGCCATAGTCAATTCAATTTGTGATCATGTAATACGTGCTTGTTAACTGAAAAATCTTATTTCATACACGTTAAAGTGTATTTGAAGTAAGTGAAAAAAAATCCAATGGCGAATAGAAAAAAAAGGAAAGAAAAGAAAAAAATCCACGTCAAATGCTGAATATCTCAAAGTTAGCAAAAATACAATGAAATAGTCAGTACTTTCAACAGTCATTGTATAAAAATAATCAATTGCTCATAAACAAAAACGATTATAAAGGTATGGTAAATTAAGGGTTTTAATAGTTTTCTTTTCACATATAATAGGTCTTAATTACTGTTTAGATATATGGAATTTTTACGGAATTATTTATTAAAAAATCTTCTTACCTTCATTTATTATGAAGATCAACAAAACAACGAGAAAGGGCTCCCAATGCATTATCAGTTTATCTACAAATAATTGTTAGAGGGAACATAATTTACATGTATAACAAAAAGCTCTGTAGCATATGCTACAATTAATTAATAAGTCTGGGAAGTTTGCAATGACCGTTTCAAACATTTTGAAACTGGAAATAATTATATTTTGTTTACAGAAGTTTCACGACTTACCGTGATTTTAATACGAGAGGATATTTACAAACTTGAAATAAAATAATCTTACCTCATTTGTGACTTTGGACAATGCAATGCTTAAGTATGCAGAATTTACTTAAATATATATACTTTTTCTGAGTAGCTGGTAGCTGGAAAACACCATGACGCAAAATTCTTAGAAGTAATTGACACACATCAGTTATGACAAATTAAAATTAGATCAAGACCTTTGAAATGTTTAAGGATTCATAACAAACGATCAAATCTCAAAGTTTTATTGGTTGGTTCATTATCTTCATCTTTTCCATTTTACAAAGAAGATATAAAGAACTGAAGAGAAAAATGGATGCCAAAATTTTCATAAATTTTTACTGAGGAAACATTTTGAGAGTGATTTATATTTGATTCAATTTTCCATATCTATTAAATAACATTCAAATTGCTAATTGAACATATTTGCACCTGAAGTTATCATTATTTTGAAAACTGTGCATTTAATTTTTATCTCTTTGAGATTCTTTTCTACTAGTTTTAAGAAATCAGACACAGCTGTCAGTATGGACCCATTTGTTTAGGCGAAGATGTCAGGAAATCAGTTTAATTTATTAATATTTTAATACATCTGATTTATTGAGAGTAATCGATTTTATGAATTTTGTGATTTTATAAAGTCAATAAATATTAGCAAGTGACTTATCGTAGTTTGTTAAGATGGAAGCTAAAGGTAAAACTTTTATTTCATTGATTAAGTTTTCTTTTCTTGATAAATGTTGTAATATTTCTAGTCAGCATTTCGTAAACTCTATGATCTTTATTAGGACCTTGTTAACAAATATAACCTTTCATTGGGTGGTATTTTAGCTGATGTGTTTCATACGTATTGTAAGGCCTTTGTTTTTTTTTCCTAAATTTGACTGCAGGATATTCAGTATAAATGATAAATACATTGGCCTCACGGCAGATGTCACCAGTCGAAAGGGGTGCTTACTTCTCCTAGGCACCTGATCCCACCTCTGGAATGTTGTTCGGGGGTCCGTGTTTTACGCCCTGTTTACAGATTTATATGGTCTGTAGATTTGTTTGAGATCGATGAACTAAAGCCTGTAACAGAGTATCAGGAAAGGCGTATAGTCATAGTTTATAACTGTGTTAACAGTATTGATACATATCACAAACTAGCAAAAAAAGGTCATATATTCCTGATATAGATTTCAATTTTTAAACTCAAACACTGCCTCTGTTTATATCATTTAAATTTCTGACAAATTATTTAACACGTGAAAGACGGATGATCAGACAAACAAACCCTTGATCTTTAGACTCAGTAAATTAAAATTAATGACTTCGAATTTTATCTAGGCCATATCTGATGTAATTCTCGTGAGTGCTTTTAAAGTGGATGCCTATTGTTTGTTATGCAATATCACCAATTACTCTCCATGCATTTCCCACCAAACACTGGTAATCAATTATGATTAGCTCATTCTTATACAAGTTCATAGACGAATTATTACTACCAGGCTCCTTTTTATAAGGTTTTTCAATTTAACTGATTTGATATATATATATATATATATATATATATATATATATATATATATATATATATATATATATATATATATATATATATATATGAAGGACATTTGAAATCAATAACCATGATGGTCATTAAAAGTAAAATATATTAAATAAATAAATAAAAAATACAGTTAAGTGTATTAAACATCTTATGAATTATCGCGGAATAATTTTAGAAATTTGAAATTCTATGATACCTCCTTTTAAAAGAGCTATTAACTAGAGATTTGAAAAATTACCTTCTGGAACTTAATTCCCTCTTAATAAACAATAGTTAACGTCTAGTGTAAGTATAGTACACATAAAAAGTAAATTTCTAAAGAATTTTCTTACATTTGGGCCACTACAGTTCTCCTCTTTGTATTGTAAATGATACATATTAAAGAGATAACCATGTACCGCAAAAGGCCTCTATATGGTATGTGACACGCAGTCCCAGAAAAGAAAACACGTCTTATACTGTTTGTATTTTCCCGTCTTGGAGATCATTAAATTTGATTTCGGAATGTTTCATCAATGGACGAATCACTCAATGGATATGTCAAGTTTAGAAGGAACAATAATTATTCCACTCCCAAAACACCAAAATGAACGATGGAAATCTCTTTCGAAAATAGAATCATTTCACGGTCGGGGAAGTGATGCTTGCACCCTCAAGCACATACATGTCAATTGTTTTGGGAGGCAAGTCTTGTTTGTACATTTTCCCTCTCAACTTGTTCTGTAACATTTTTGGTATAATATATTACAAAGTGTGGTTAAGCTTAAATGGATTTAATTTTTCTTCCACGATATACCGGGTAAAACAAGTAGAAAAAAAGTTTCTACTGTCTTAGTAGCCCGTAATTATATACTGTAATCTCCGTTATTCTTAGAAAAAGTAAATGGTCTTTAAAGCAAAATTAACTTAAGTTGCAGAATTAAAAGTATTTGATCAAAAGTGGTTATAAAAATGTATAAAAACCTACAATGATATAAATGTTAAAGGTGAAAATATCGACCTGTGATAAAGCTCATAAATCAAATAAAGAATACAATTGAACAGGGAGGAGAAAACATGACCCCTTGAAACACCAGAGATGGGATCAGGTGGCCATGAAGAGTAAGCATTCCCTGTCGATCGGTCATATCCACCGTCAGCCATATATATTGATCAGATAAACGTAGTAATCCATAGTCAAATTGGTATTAAAAATGGCCTAACATTTATTGGAAGACATGTCAGTCATATTACGACCCAACGATAGGTTGTATTGGGAAAGAAAGCCTTTATAACGATAATAGAAATTACAAGATGCTGACTTGAAACGACATAAAAACGGTTTAAAAATTAATCGTACTTGAACATGCTCTTGCGTGCCTAATCAGCTGGGAGACATGAACAGCAAAGGCAGTTGATAGTGGAATAAACCTATATAAATAAGGAAAGCTGACGATGGAAAAGCTGAAGTCGTCCCCTTTGTCTATAGTATGGCTGGGCAATAACACCGATATTCCAGCGTATTGCAGTTTGTTGACCAAAATGTCGTATTGCGATACGTCTTTCTAGTACCAATATACCGGCAAATGGTTGAACTTGTGATTTCTATAATAAAATATAAAGTTTAAGATGTCAGAAATGTTTGCGATCGCGCCAAACAGTAAGATAATAATTGCTGTATGGGTACGATTTGGTGCATAACTGAAATTAAATCAATAAGAACTTTATTCTTTTTTTTTTTGGGGGGGGGGTGCTACTTATCATAGTTGTTTCCCTTTTGCATCTAAATGAAGATTAATTTAAACGAGAGAAGATCATTATTATCTTTACTGAAAATATTTCAATACATATCGCAATACAGTTAAAATTCGCATTATATCGCAATACGTTTACAGCCAAACGCAACCCTAGTCTATAGATTGGTTATCAGTTGGCCATCGACGTCTATAGGCAGTAAAGCATCCAAGAAAGAAACAGATCAAAACTCTCTCTATCTCTTCCTATCTCTCTGTTTTCATTTGAGTTCAATGGGATATATCAAAATGACATATGAATGAAAAAAAAAATTCAATTAATAAAACGATGTATCGAAATGTTACTTAAAGCCAAGACAAAAGTCTTCTCATGTAGAATTTTTTGAATAAATTTGCTTCATAAGAATCTAAAACAGGTCGGCTAACAAATCACAATTAGTGCCCATCGAAATTATCAACGATTGTTGGAAGACCCAGTCTTCAAAGACTACATGTATATAGAAATTGTCAATGAGGAACTCCAGAATCAAACAATAAAAAGATATATGATCATGTTACGGTAGTCTATAATAAGATATTTGTTATTCAGATCTTGTCAAGACAGTAATGTATATAGTTTAGACCCGAGAACAAGCAATCAAACGTTTCTTGAAAGACGTTTGCTTTCTTGAATTCATATGAAGTGAGGTATGATTAGAATTCTACCTATCGTCAAAACTTTTATGACGAATGATTAAGTGTGGAAGTGGTTGAACAGGTGTGATTGCCAGAGAGTTTAATGTCTGCCTGTGGTCATAAACACTGCGTTACAGAATGGTAAATATCAGCATATGTGGACGTAGGCTTTTGCAGCTGTGATTGCCTGTGGAATTCCATATCTATCTTGCTGATATATGCATATATACACCACAATATAAAAAGAAACAGCAAAAGATGAAAAAATTATATTTATTTTTTCCCTATTTTTATTTCATTTTTTATTTTATTAGTTTTTGTCCCTGAGTTTTATTCATTGTAAATAAATCATGCTTTATGGTCCTTTGTGCTCTTCAGACAATTATTCAACCTTCATGATAAACTGAGATATTCATCTGTAAAAAAAAAAAAAATAGATGATGTGTATTTTTGCAATCTTTTACACTCGAATGTTATTTACGGAATGAAGCTAATTTTAACCTACGTTATACGATATAACATAACTTGGGGCAGTTTACGCTTTATAAAACGCGAAGCAGTTTATAACAAAGTTATGTTTTATCGTATAATATAGGTTAAAATAAGCTTCATTCCTTATAATTTAATTTCAGTGTAGATGATAAGACAATATTTCCTCTAAGATGGCTTCAAATTGATCATGTTTTTAAAAGTAACGTCAAAGGGAGTACATTGTAATATGTTTTTGATGAGACTCATTGTGACGTAGGCAACTTGTGTTATACGATATAAACGAAATCTTTTATCCAATCAACTTTTATCCAATCAAATGACGTGTTACAATTAAAATTAAATAAATTTGATATCATAGATGTAAATTAAAATAGTTATCAATCAAATATAAGTCTAAGTAACTAAATATCAGTAACTTGTGCTTATATAGGGAAATGTAGAGAAGCTTGTCACTCAATTTGGGTCAATTCAACCTTTACATTAATACAAGAATAAATTTACTTTTTTGATCTGCACCAATGTCCTGATATTGATGATCATCCATCTTTGTGACGTTCTGCATGACGTAATCTTCATTTCTAGCAAGTAAAAATATGTTGTAAAAATTTAGATCATAGTAAAATAAAAACAAATCACATTAAATTTATAAATTTATACTTACATGTACTCAGATCTTCGGAAACAGCATATATCTAAATTTCAAAAATAATATAATGAAATGGATTGGATACATGTGATAAAACATGGTTTCAGAATCAGGGCATATTGCGAAAATGCTTGCCTTTTTTAATGAATCTCCTTCGAAGGATGATAAAAATTATAAGTCCGGCACAAAAGATGAACATAACAGTAGAGACAGATGCCAATATGGGAATAAGGGCGGATAACTCTGGAATCCATCAATTTGCCATAATTTGAATATGTGCATTTTTATATACATGTACATGAACATTATTAAATTCAGTGTTGCTGATAATTAACACTAAGTTTAATGAGTGATGGTTTTAGGAATGATTATCTTGTACATGAACATTTTTCAATTCTATGTTGTTTGATAATTAAAACTTATTGTAATGAGTGATAGCTTAAGCATTGATTCTTTATTATGTACTTCAAAAATACAACGGTACCTGTTGAAGAAGATTTGCATACATTCTGCTGTGAATCGGAATTCCCTGTAAGATATTGAAATGTGTATTATTAACTAATGAATAAAATGCACTTTCATCTCAAAACTTTGTTTTCGATTACTTATTTACAAACTATTTTTTTCATGTTGTCATGTACAGGTTTAATTGTGCATTTTCCTTTTATTTAGGTAAATTAGGGGGCCCATTCCTTTACATCTAGATTATCTAAATTCAGTATTTAATATATCGTAATACACATTAAATACAGCTTGATTCTATAGTATACAGCTGTTCTTTAATATATAACACGTGTCCTCCTGACATTTGACAAATGGATTGTTTGCAATGTGTTTTAAGAAAACCGGAATGAGGTGGGCATACCATGGATTTATAACTATACCCTGTGACAGATAAATGTTATTCTCACAGGGTGAAACTACGCAAATCTGCGCGTGTCAACTAAATTTTCACTCTCAGGTCTGGAAAGATGACCTAAATGAGAAACCTCTGTCGTTCAGTCATCTTTCAGTAGACTTTCAGTCACTTATCACATGTATCAATTCAGCGGATTGCATAGTGTCTTCCTTTATTTTGAAAATAGTTCAAAAATGCACAATCGGTAATCCTTTCTAGAAAAATGTGATAAATATATCACATTCTAAGCATGAGATCCTCAGTTTTTCTAGTCACTGAGAAAAACTTATAGATGACTCAGAATACCACTGTCATCAAAGGCGTAGTTCTCAACAGGGGATTTCAATTATTCGTATGCGCAGTTATCAACATGGAATTTATAATAGTGTCAGTGAAAAATGACACTTGAGATGTGTACTTATCATACAAAACAGCCTGTAACATTTTCAATTGCAAAATAATTTCCCGTTGCATTATAAATTTAGAAAATGAAATGCGGAAAAATAACCTAGACACAAAATAATTGAATGAAATGATATTTAATATGTGGTTTTTGTCATTATTTTCCTTATTAGTAAGTATACATGCAAAAAGTATCTTTTCGTGCGTATCTATATCGATTCCATTGATTTTTCGAAGCATAAGCATTAAGAGCCATTCTCTGTAAGCATCAAAATGGGCTGGAAATTGACTGCCACCGATTTTGTTGAAACTTGGTGAAATAATTACACTATACCATTTTACAAAAATATTATTGGAAATGGTCAATTGGTCTTGTTTCCATGGCAACAGGTTACCTATTTTCACACATTGGTGGAAAATACTTATAAATGTCATATCACCCCATTAATGTATATTTAATGAATATAGGTGACCATTATTAATTTTGTTTTTTCTCAAAAATAATTTGTAATTTGTATTTTATATACAAGAAAGTTAAAAAAAAAAAACAACAAAAAACTTCGACCTGCCGATAAATGCCAAAATGATATCAAAAATTGCTTTAAAACAGGTGGGGAAAACATAACAGTGTGTACAAAAAAAAAAAAAAAAAAAAAAAACAAACAAACAAACAAAAAAACAGGCACTGGAGGAATATTTTGATGCTCTGAATTTTACCCGAAAAAATTATGAAAACATAAAAAAATTGGAGAGGTATTATTTATTTTAAGAAAATAAATTGATTGTAAAGTTTGTAAAAATCTCTAAATTTACACATTTTTGCCAAGAGTTATTTCCCCTTTCGGAGATCTTTTGCTAAAATAAAAGAAAATGAAAGTGAAAGTAGAGAGCAGAAAGTAGATTCTGTGTGTTTTGGATATTCTCAGGGTTTTTTTTAACCCAACTTATGTGTTATTTTATATTACCTATAGTTAAATGGTTGTTCACTCCTTACTGAGAAATATACATGTATGTGTATAATGAGGATAAGCATGAAAATGGATTGCACCTAAATTCCTACCTATGTGACACGTACTGCATCATTGCAAAAATGTTTTTAAAAACAAAGTAACATTCAGTTACATGGACTTCAGAGCAACGAATAAGGTTGTGATGTAGAAAGATACCCGGCAGTAAGAAGATCACTAGGCAAGGTCCAGTGAAAATTTTTACTCAAACTCACTTTCACGCTTTGTAATACGGTAAGTTTATTAATAACAGGGTGTGACTATCTATAGGAAAGAAACATTAAAGTATCCAAAACATAATAATGACATGAATCTAATTATATCAATAATTTAATATCTATTAGTATCTAGGCATATTTTAAAACTATCTGTTGATGAAAATATTGTTAACCTAGTTTTAAACCTAAAGCATACCTGTAGTGTTTATGAGAAGAGCTACATTGATTTTAGGCATAGCATCAGCTTTCTAAGTGTGTGCTTTAAATGGGGGTGGGGTGGGGTGGGGGTATCAAGTTATTGCCATGCAAGGTATTTCATCCATTTATTCTTTTTTTTTTTGATTTTACATGTTGACCTCATTAGACAGTATACACATTTAAAATCACATCGCTAAACTGAACACGTGACAATATTGAAAGTTTTTTTAGATTTCAGTTTGTGCAGGGCTTAAATTTGTTGTTGTACATTGTTATGTTTTTGTTTTTTTCTTTGTTTGTTTGTTTGTTTTTTTTTTTGTGTGAAAAGGGAAGGGGGTGCCAAATGCTCTTTCAGGCCTTTTTTTTAGGAACTTATTGTATAAAATTGTAAGAACTTTGAAATTTATCTTTTATCAGATTATTTTATTGCAGCAAAGTAAGAAAATTAATAATATATTTAGAATTTTTTTTATCATTATATTAAACATTCCGTTAAATTTAAGCCACATTACAATGTGTGTACTTTACTGAAACAGTATCAATCAATACAATAAGGTAAGGAAAATATGGCAATTTCCAGTTGAGAAGAGTTCCTTTTACATGCATCCAGATGTTGAGGATATGTATAATGCCCATTGTTGAAATCTTGATTCATAGATTTATGTGCCCAAATTTTGGCAGAGAAAGATATTATATTTTGATTCTTATGTCATATTTTATGAGTACAAAATATTTATGGTAACTGATCAAGCCCCCTCCCCTTTTTTTAAATTTCATTTTTTGGGGGGTGGGGTGTCACATTTTAGTGTGCCTCCACTTTAATCAGATATAGTGTAAGTCTCATACATCGATGTGCATGTGTATTAAAGCTAAAATTACACTCACTTTGAGTCAAAATGAGGTTCTCTGTTTATTGAATTTCAAAAGCATACAGGGAGTTCACTCCCATGGGCATCCCCTACGTACGGTGTTTTGGACCTAATAATAACGGTGGAGGTCTGTAGACTACTTTCCACCTAATAGCACTTCCCCTAACACAAATCTTGGTTTTGCGCCTGAATAAGGAAGAATTAAATTACAGAATCTTTAAATTATATATTGAGTTGTGATTGTCAATTTTAATGTGTATGATGATTGACAATTATATCTTCAACAGTTTCTTTGTACTTGAGCTAAAATGTAAAGGGATGGAAGGAAGAAAGGAAAATGAGGAACATGACAAATACATGTAATATATTCCCCTAGCATATTGTTTGTGGCAAAATTTGAAGGACATAATATATTCTTTCAGGGGAAAGGTATAATATGGAGGGGGTGGGGTCAAAATTCATTTTTTCAACAAGAATTTTTATAGATACATGTGGCAGCGTTTTACACCATACTTATGCTACTGCAACAAAAAAAAAAGTTTTTTTTTTTTATCAAAAGTCCTGCAACCAACCATTTAATAAATAATTCCCTACTAAATGAACAGCAAAAGATTATTTCAAAAAAAAAAAAAAAGTGGAGGCCAAAGGGGGGGGGGGCACTTATGACTATGTGCTTGTCCTACTAGAATTACATGTTTAAACATGGATATATGTTTCAATTATAAAATCATGTTCCTTCAATAAGCAGGGTCATGATTTTATATAGGTACTTATTGCTTGTTTCCATGGAAAAAGAACAGTGCAAAAACACCTATGCTGCAGTTGTTCAGAAATATGATCAGTTTAAGTATTCATCTGTATATGTCCGAGTAAGTACTGTAGATTCCTAGATATACGCGAGGAATTAATTATCGCGTAATTACGCGAGAAGCACCATTCGCGAAATAAAATTACTCGCTTTTATTTTTGGTGAAGAAATCAATGTAAAATCACTTGATCAACCATCCACTTGCGAATTATTGTTCTCGCGATTTGACGTTAAAGAGTCATTTCGCGATAATAAGTACTCGCGAAAAATAAGGAATCTACAGTATATGAATTAGAAGTACAATCAAACACTGAGGCTAGAGTTTTGTATATTGATACATCAATAATTATAGGGAATATTCCTGAACTATTTGGTTGCCATAGCAACTTTTTTTTTAAAATTAAGACTTTCTATTTTCATGTAAGTGAAATGACAAGGTTAATGTGATTTATTTTATTGAAGAACTAAGTCCTGATAGTCCTGCACTATTGGCTGCTATAGCACCCGTTTTTTATTTAAATTATGAATTTCTATTTAAATGAAAGTGAAATACAAATTTGATTAATGCAATTTATGTTATTGAAAAAGAAAAATAATCATGCATGAAGCTATCATAATATTTGTTTTATACTTGTGATAGCAACCCCTATATAAGGAAGCGTTCCAGAACTACCGGTATTTGGTTACCATAGCAACATGATTTTTAGACGTATGATTTTTTATTTATCTTTTTAAATGTAAGTGAAATGACAAATATAATAAATGTGATCTATTTCATTGAAGAATTTTTGTCTTGCACTGAGGCCATAGTTTTCGCATAATTATAACATCAATAATTATAGATATTGTTCCTGAACTATTTGGTTGCCATAGCAACACAATATTTTTTTTTAGTTATTGAACTTATATTTTATTCAGATAATGTAAGTGAAATGACATGGTTTATTAGTGTGATTTGTTTTATTGATAACTTTTTTAATGCTATAATGTACAATTAGTAAGCAAAATGTTGAATCTACAAATTAATCCAAAAATTCCGTAGCAACCATTTTCGTTTTCATTTTATTTTATTTTAAGAAATAATACCTCTCTAGAAATTTTATATTTTGTTGAGTGTAGAATGAACTTTTCAATGATGGTAGTTGTTTGTTATGGATTTCTCGCGTTTTCTAGCTACTTTGTTTAGAAAATGCCAAAAATTGGCATTTTTTTTAAATTTGTTAAATTTCAAAAAATTGACAATTTTCACTGAAAGACGACTCTTTCATGACCCACTACTGAATCAAATCATTAGTTGTGATAGTTACAAAAACAATTAGTCCATCAGAATAGGCAACAATTCATCCTGTAAAAATTACGTAGAAAATAGAAATTGAAGATGAAGTTGGTATAATTTCAGTAGATCGCTCCATATTTTTGGCCTTAAAATGGCGGGTTTGGTTACCAAGGCAACCTGGACTCAAATTTAATAACTGCCCCCAAATATGCTCTATACATGGTGTTCCTATATTACATGCAAAAAATCAGCCAAATCTGTGATGTACCATTTCCAACTTTTTCCATATTTTTTTTTTTCTTACAGAGAATGACTTCACATGCTAAGTTGCTTTTCGTACACTTATGTGTCTGTATCCTTATTATCAGACATAGAAGAAGACATGCATAATTAAGTAGATTTTTATTTGTTAATGTAAAACCATAGATATGAAAAATTGAGAAGATTCAGAGAACAACTAAAAAAAGAGTTTGATAAAGGGAGTTATCATATATCTTTGGTGAGCAAATTATAAAGCTGAATGAACATGAATACTACTTATTGTTGTTGCCCTATTTTTCCCAATTGATTTTATGTTCAGTTTCTTTTTTACATGTTGTAGTTTAAATTTAGTTTCATTTTGCTAAATTTAGCTGGATATACGTGTATTTTTCAATTGAAAAAAGAATCAAACTACAAATATGTCTTAACATGTCAATTAGCATATGACAAAAGACAATATAATTGTATATATCCAATATTGTTATATAAAACAAATCTTCTTGCTTTTGAAGAGATTCAGGCATTTATTTTATTGTAAGGTAAATTTACCTTGAGGAATAATGTGGAAAGTTGTCATAAAAGATCCATAATCATTGGTTACTCTCACAGTATAATATCCAAACTGATCTTCTTCCAGCACTGTCTTCTTCAAATGCACAGAAAATGAAGAAATATTGATAATGGTGCTTGTTCTTATAAAATCACTGGACAAAGTAAGCTCTGGTGATGTACTTTTTTGTCGGAAGCCCCACTGAAAGGATGGTGTAGGGTACGACAGAAAATTCGCCGACATTTCTAGCTTGTCATGAAAGGAAGCAGGTATCCGTAGAAAGTATAAACCATCAAGGGATCTTGGCCCACCTTGAATTGAACTTTTATAATTAAGAACAAATGATAAAACTTTCAAGTTACAAATAGTTTCAATAGTTTTCTGATAATTAAGTGAGTAAATATTATATTTATAGAAAAATAAAATATAGTATTATAAATATTTTGAAATTTACGTTCATTATCAAAATACATCATGTGTACTGTTTCGCCGTTTTTCTTATGTCTCTTTTTCCACTCAATTTCATTCTTTTCCTAAAAATTATAGTCTTTTTTGAATCACATTTTGATTCGCATAATTTACATTTTATTTTATAACAAATAGAGCTGTACATTTATCAGAATTAGTAATTAACATACAATTAACATATATCTGTATCGGATCAGAAGCAGCAAATCCAATACGGTTTTCTGCTGTACATATATACAGAGCAGTATGAAAACATCTAGCTGATTTTTCTGTGAAGTTCAGCGTGTTCGTAAAGGTACCAATGCTCAGTATCTCACTGGTGTTCTGATTCCGGATCGACATGTTAGTAAAACTAGAGCTATCGACTTCGCAAAACACCGACATAGGAGCTGTTTCGTTGACTGTTGGACAGCCATGAAGTTTAAAAACCTTAATTTTAGGAAGATCTGTTATAAACGGAAGAATAAAACTAAAATACATTAATAACATAAACAAACCCAGAATTATCTCACAAATACAACATTTTATAAGACTTCATTAATGATAATTATAATTAGTTTTTGAAATGAAAATCATGTGTCTTAGCTTACAGAGCACCGTTACCCTGCGGGACGACTGAAGACCAGTGGGCACAACTGAGTTATTAGCCATACATATGATGTTCTTTCCGTTGTCCTCTTTGTTGACTGTAATGTTTAATATTGCATTCACTATGTGAGTTTGAGTAGAAGGGTCGATCGTACAGGAAACGTACGTTGATTTTAAGTATGTTTCCCGGAATATCCACCAGAGTGATACAGGTGGACGACCCCCAGAAGATGAACACGTGACCGTTATCTGATTGCCCTCCTTTGTGTTTTGAATTTTGGAAATTTTTGTGGTTCTTGGTCTTACTAAAATAAAAAAAAATGTATGTATTAAAAAAATCAAACATTAAAAGCATCAACACATATGCCTTCTCTATGTATCAAACAAGCATTCATCACGATAAATCAAAGAGCAGGCGTTTTGACGTCATAGACAACTGCTTTCTCAGTAAAAATGGAAATCGCTTTTTTCTTGTTTTGTGATTGATCATCCACAAAATTATCTTTTCAAAAACCATTCTGATTCTACGTACAGAACTCTGAAGTTGATATTAAAAAATGATGGGGTCCCTCGTTCGGAAATTCTATGTATTGTTTGGAGACCAGGTCCCATAACAATCCTATTTGGATTTGATGGGCACTAATTTTTCTTATTTATTACCTCACCTACTTCTATACTCTTATAAAGCAAAATTAATTCAAAAACATCTACACGAGATGAAGAAAACAATTGCTGTGATCTTCAACTCGACCTTTAGATATATTTACTGCAATTTATCAATCATCAAGCTACTTTCATTCATATGTCGACTCGATATATCCCAATAAACTTGAAATTGAAGACACTACAGAGTCTGATATACATGTATCATATTGGGTGTTGTATAACAAGCGGGGTGATTTCAGCTTTTCAATAGTCAACATGTATTGTTTATGTAGTAATATTTACATTTGCAAATGTTTTCCTTTAAATAAGACTGTTAAAAGCAACGCGTACCTATATCCGTATAAACAAGGGTTCCTCGCGTCATAAACGTTTGACGTTATTTCTCAGTGAAGTCATAAAGGGTTGACGCTGAATCAATGGATCAAATACATGCCGTTGAGTTTGAAAAATAAAACATTTCACACGCTAAAGATCATAATCAGGAAAATATAAACTATAAATAAGTCATAAATGTAAATATAAGTAATAATGTATCATTTTTAAACATCTATCAGGATACAAATACGGGTTGGTACGAGATCAAATTTACCATAAAGCCCTTCGGGCTTTATGGAATTTGATCTCGTCACCAACCCTTATTTATATCCCGATAGATGTTTAAATATGATACATTATTTCTTAAATATTCCTATATCATCTGTATAAATGTTTATGACTTCCAGCTACTGTCTAAGTATTTTTCTGCGTGGTATTAATACGCTCTTAAGGTACATTAAATGAAGGTTCACAAAGTCAGTCTATGAAATAAGCTTAAATATCTACAGCAAACTGACAGAAATTGTAATTCCGCCGAATTCTGACCCAGTAAAAAGTATATCTACACTAATTGAATTCGCAAGATCATGTTATGAGTACATACAATCAATTTTTCAAATCGAGATAAGCTACTGACAAATAAGTTGATGTTACAATGATTTCAATAACATCGTTAAGAGTCAGCTTTTTAAAAAAATCTTCGGTCGTGATAATGACAGTTATAATGATTTTTCATACTTGAACAAAGGAAAAACACACAGGAGATCTTCAGTGTTTGGTGCTAGTGCATGTTCAGACAGGAATTACAAGTAGAATCTCCCTTTTCATTGCATGGATATTATAAACATAATTTGATGCGAGCAGGAAACACGTATTACTTTAACAAAACTGATGGAATGATTGGTCTAACCTGAATATGACAGATGCAATATACACTGACCCAAACTTCTAAGTGTTCACCTAACATTTTTCAAGTTATAAAGAACAAATGCATACATTAAGTATTTTTTTTTAATTTATGGTTAATGATGCAGATTTCAGTTCGATGTTGCGTAAATTTCATGTAGGTATCTCGTCAGACTTTAAAGCAAAAGGTACCCCAAAATGAAAATTCACATAAAATAATCTCTATGGAGTAAGACAACCACTCGCTCTAATTACTTCACGACATCCTTTTCTCATGGAAACCATGTACCCCTGAATAGAAGGTTAACCTATCTGCTGCCATACCTGCTGTATGGATATTTCTAAAGCGTTGAAATTGCGTGGAAGGGGGGAGGGGGGTTTTGACATTCCTTTTAAAAGTCCCAAATGTGTTCAATGGGATTCAGATTTTGCAGGCCAGTGCATCACACAGATGCCTTTTGGTCAACACTTAGACCCTCTTTGGGCGTCTCGCACGTAGGTGTACCTTTTCAAGGATGATTTAGACTGTTTTGAGATGATACTGGACTGCCATGAGCACCAATTTGTTTGCCATTTTCTTACCATGGAAGTTGCTGATCTAAATGTTTCTAAAGTGGTTCAAGACCATGTAACAATCTTTTGACCTGGTTGTGACGCGAAACCTTGGCCCCGGACGATGATCCAGATCACTTCCGGTTTGGTTAAATTTTGTCCAAAACTTTCAAATTTGATAAGTTCGCGATGAAAATAACGCACAATTTATAGAAATATGTGTTTAAATGGATTTTTTTTACTGGATATTAATTTTTAAAAGTAATATCAAGGACAAATAAACACTGAAATAAAAATGAGTTAAACGTGTCGTAAGGATGATCCAGATATCAACATTGCAACGGCTCTCCCTCCTTCCTCAAAGGTCATTTTGCCCTTGTTTTGTGTTTTTTAATTAAACCCGTTCTTAAAGATCGATAATGGTCACAAAAAGAAGCTGATTACGCAAAACACGTGTCGTAAAGTACCGATTTATTGTTTTTAAGCTTCGTCACGGGACATTGGTTTTCATCGGTGATAATTGATTTTCTTTCGACAATTGTTAAGATGACTCATTGGTTATAATAATTTGAAAATGTCATACCATTCTATCATGTAAATTTTTAATAAATACATTTATTAGAGTGAACACTTAGAAGTTTTGTTAAGTGTACAAGAAAATGATATTCAATACATTGTACTTACAGTCAAGGAATATTTGAACAATTCTTCTCATTGGCTGTGATAAAGCAGGATTGTATGAAGTACATGTGTAGTTCTGGAGGTCATCGACTCTTGTAGGAAGAAAGCTGTACATAGTAGCATTAATACCAGTAGATAATAATGCAAAGTCTTTATACCATGACACATTGGCAGGAGGATCACCACCTGATGACTGACATGACAGATTTAAAGGAGATCCTTCTGTACCATTGACTCATAAGGTGCCATTTTCATTGTAGGAATCAATGTTTATGCTGGAAGGAGGCACTATAAAAATAATGCTGAGTATTAACACTTTTGAATACTTGAACAGGAAAGCTGAGTATTAACTCTTTCGAATAATATACTTAAATGGAAAGGCCTCTCCACTGTTCAACTAATAAAAAAAGAATAACTTCGTGATAACGTAGATATTTACAATATAACTTAAGATAAATTTTGCTTTGTTGTGGAGGGTTAGTGTTAACAACACACGAGTACAGCCCCACGTCCTCCTCTCTGGTGAGTCCTGTTATCTTAAGGTCGTACCCCCCTGTCTGTGTATTCCTCACCACCGTCAAACGTTCTCCTCTGGACAGATTAGGGTTTTTCTCCTCATTATAAAAGTAGGCAGTCATTGAAGGTGGTCCATTCCAACTTGTTCGTCCATGTACGTATGGTGGTCTTAAAGGACATTTTAATCGTATCGTTCCCCCTTCCTGTCCATAGATGACAGCACCACTTGATTGGCTGCAGACTTTAAAAAAGACTTTAAATAGTTTTAAATGAATCTTCAATACCCAAGTTAAAATATTAACTTCAAGAAATGCCAATGACATTTTAACACTTTATGTTTTGTTTTAATGGGTCTTTTTAGAAGGAGGAGGAGAAGGTCTTGATAAATCTTATCATCTGGAAAAATAGCATCACGAAGAACACACTTTTTAAATTTAATTTATTCTTTTAATATATAAAGTATCAAAGTTGGTAATTTTTTTCAAAATGACGCGTTATTTCAATTGAAGTAATAAGTTTAGATAAAAAAAAAATAATGATATCAGTGGTTTGAATGAGACTATGATTATATATAAGTACTAAAAAATATTGTTTTGTTTAAAATTTGTTTTTGAAAGTTAAATTTTCAGTAATTTTTTGTTCCTTATACAGCCAGGAAGAATTGATCAAAAACACCTATTGTTCAAGGGATTTAAAAAAAATGAACGAATTATCTATAGCCTTTTCTTCCCTAAAAATGTTTCTTTTAGATATTTACAAATGTCCTTTACTTGTTACAAATTCAATGTAATCCTCTTATTTTTTTTAAATAGCTTTTACTCTACTTTCTGAAATATATGAACCATGTTAAGGAATTTCTAATTCGATACAATTATCAATCTCGTAATCTGTACTTTTTTATTTGTTTATACAAAAATAAAAGTCAAAATGGTAGTAATTGAATCTCATCGTGTATGCATAGTAAACGCAAAGTAAAAAGTTACATGTAAGAAAGCCTGAAATTAAAATACCTACTTAAAATGATATTAATGAATGCGACCTATTGAATATTGTACGTACCAAAAGGCAGCCTTGAGAGTTGAAGAAGAAACAAAAATACACAAGAAATGTAATACAGTGATCTGTGTGCAGTTGTATCCATTATCTTGTAGTTCTTCCGTGTTTATTTTTTGTAGTGAGAGTGTGAACAAAGAAATATTTATTACGACAAGTATGCTTTGACGGCGCGCACGATTTTTGTGTCATTTTCAGTACTGTCAGAACGAAATAAATTGTCCAAGAATAATGATTTTGGCTTAATCTTCAAGTCAAAGAAAACCTTTAATTGTGAATCTAGCATTTTATAATACATACAATATTGTTTTTCGCTCATCTGAGCTGAAAGGTCAAGGGAGTGTTTTTGTTCTGTGTCCATTAGCCCTTTCGGTAAACTTTACACATTTCGAACTCTTGTAAAAAAAAAAAATCCTCTGTCTTTTTCAACTTAACTTCCCTTAAAGCATCCTCAGGTGAATATAATTCAATTTGTTCAAATGGAAGGTCACGATCTCTTTCATAATTAAACATTTGTGAAAAATTATTAGTATTTTTCAAAAAATCCTTCTCGAGAATCACCTTGGCCAAAAAGGAATAAACATGCGAAATCTTCATCATAATGAGTAGATTCAAACCATGACACCGGTGGTAGGGTGGGATTTAAGGAATGTTTATTATAAATAAATTTTAAAATCCTCTCAAAAACAGCATGCGAACCCTCTTAACTAAAGTTAAGGAAATTTAAAAACTTTTTTTTGAAACTTAGAGCAGAGGTTCATCACTTCTTAATTCAAATTGCCTACCAATTATTGGGAAACATGTCAAACATGTCGACCGGTGTTATTGGCAAAGAGACCCTATAGAATATCGTAGAATTTTTGAGATGATGACTTTTTAAGCCTGTAATAGCAAATTAATTGTTAGGTATTATGTCATGTCTCGGTGTAAAATTTGATCCTTCGAATTGTAAGAACATGCTCTTACGCATTGAAATAGCTGGGAGAAAAAAAAATACCATATCCAGGTGATAGTGAAATTTTATTACATTAATAAGAAAAAATGACGATGTCAAAGCTGCATTCTTTTCTTCTGTCTGTAGGTTACTTGTTAATTGATAATTACCGTCGTCACAAAAAAAAAACATTCAAGTTTGAAACAGATGTATCAGATTGTAATTTTTCTTTTTAATTTTGAGTTTACTGGGAAAAATCAAGCTGAAAAATAATTGCAAGTAACCAGTTTTGACTGATGAAATATCGTTGAAATGTCAAAATGTTGAAGGCCACAGGAAAAGTTTCTTCCTCTCATGAGGGAAATTTTAAATAAATTCTGCTACATAAGAATATAAATACAGGTCGAATAACAAACGAACACAATTAGTGCTTACTGAAATTCCAACAAATTGTTGGAAGATTGGTGTCCAAGGACTGCAAGTTTATTGTCAATGAGAAACCCGAGCATCAAACAATACAAAATAGTAAGAATATTGATACTAAAAGGTTGTCCATAATATCACATAGGTATTAAATTTTTGGCTAAACAGTATATGTATGTATTTAATATAGAACTGAGATCAATCAATCAAGTGTTTCTTTAAAGATTTTCTTTCTTGAATTCATATCAGATGAGATATAATTAGAATTCTACAGATGCGATTACACGTATATGTCTTTCTGCAATCTTTAAAACTGTTTGTTTATCCGAAGAGTTTCATGTTTGCCTGCTGTCATAAGAACTGCTGTACAGGATGGTTAATATTATTAGCAAGTGTTGAGTCGTTTAAAAGTTTGCCGCTTTAATTTTATTTAACGTTCAATGTCTATCCTGTTGATTCATACACTGCTAAAATGCACTTTGAAATATTATGCACTTTGTATTTTTTCAAAGTGGGACCAAGTTAACGCACATATTAACGCACTTGGAAAAAAATGTGCACAGCTGGTTCAATATTCTTGATATGATAAATGATTAATTGAATCTAGTTTGATAACTTTTCGGTGATGACGTCACTTCTTGATCTGAGATATAAACGTTTAAAAAAAAAATAAGGGTTGACTTGTTCCCAAAGGTTCTCGTAACTGCTATAAGAGTAAAAAAGTCTTTTAGAAATAATGGAGGAATACTTGTTTAATAGCACAATTTGCTTTGTTTTTTATTTTATCCAGTCTGTAATAACTTCGGTAGATGTAGTTGTTTATTGTTTATTCCCGAACAACATGTTTTTCTTTTGATATGTATTGCAATTGATTTTGTAAAGTGACTTTGGCCAAAGTATAGTCATTTGGCTATTGTTGCCTAGATCAGCAATAAAGCCCATGAGTCTCTCTTCCTTTATATAATAGGGTGGTTATTTTTTTTTCAGGGAAGATTATTTCATTTTTTTAATCTATTTTACATAAACTCAAATTTATGGAGAGAAAGTATATCAATATCATACCAGTTATGTAAATGCATATACCTGGGTAGAAAAGATAAAGAGTTGGGCTGAGGGACCTTCTACTTGTCTTCTCCTCGTTCTCGATGAGGGTAGATCAATTCATCAGTTTTTCGAAAGAAATATAACAAAATAATGCTGGCTTTGACTAAAAATCTAAGTCCAACATTATTGATTTATAATTTTTTTTTCAAAGTGCGTCAGGTGTCTCCATGGTAAAAATATTGATGTTCACTCTTATTGCACTATGAAAATTTTTCAATTTGCGTTGAATTTGTTCCAGATTTAACGAATTCTGAAGAATTTGTTCCAAAGTACGTAATTTGTGCGTTGCCACAATGCACTTATACACCACTTATAGACAACAACTAGCAAGCAGAAATTTACATTTATTTTTCCCCCTACGTTTGCATTTGTATTTAGTTTTAAAATTAATCTTTTTAATTACAGCATTTTTTTGTCTGAAATTACTATACATGTACAATACAGTAAAACTTGTCTAATCCGGCGACCAGTGGTTCCAAAAATTTTGGCCGGATTAGACAACATCCGGATTGGAGAAAATTGAACCGTTATAGCAAGTTAAAAATTACATAGATATAAACAAAGAGTGGTAAATAAATACTTGATCAAATGTGTCATTTTTTACGGTTAACTTAAAAAAATCGTCTATTTCATTTGTTTTGAACTCTGTTAGTTCTTCAGAATTTTCATTTTCTGTTTATTTTTTTTAATCAGTAACGAAATATAATATCTCTTGGTCATTTATCGTGAAATGTTTAAAACACACTCCAAAACCTCATCGTAGCTGTAAATATTATTTTTGTAAGATTTCTAATTAATTTCTTTCTTTTAAAATTAATATGTTTGAATATTTAGACACTGTATTTGTTAATTTCAAATGTTATAATGAATATTGGACCAAAATCTTCTGTCGTTATGGTCGTTGTAAACTAGCGACACAAAGGGAAGTAATTCGAATTACAAGTCGTGCACGCAAAACGAAAGTAGAAATGAGGTCATGAATAACTTCAATAATTCTCCAAGTTATTCTACAGACAGGCTACACGCAACCATCACTATCACTCACTGTACATATCTTCATTCAAACTTAAATAGAGTTTTATTGAAACGTAAATCAATAAAACATTGTGTTCTTCTTTGCACTACAGTCAATTAGTCTCCACCTTCATGAAATATTGAGATCTGTAAAACAAAATAAATAAGCTGTATATTTAAAATCTTTTACATTGAAAAGTTACTTAAAAATAAGTTAAATATCATAGTTTATAAGTAACTAAAAGTAAATAACTGAATCAGTAACATATGTCTAAATAAGAAAATGTAGAGAAGCTTGCCACTCAATTTGGGTCAAGTGCATGTTAAACTTTACGTGAGCATGTTTGTTTGTTGTTTAATGTATCATCGAGGATTTTTCACTCATATTGAGATGCCACAACTTGCCGGTGGAGGGCTGCAAACTTAGACCTATACTCGGTGCTTGTGGCATTTGAGCAATGAGGGATCTTTTTCGTGCCAACACCTACTGCGGCACAAGACCTCGGTTTATGCGGTCTCATCCGAAGGTTACAAAAAACATGATTCATTTAGATCATTTTAGCCCTGTGAATTTCTAAAAAACAGAAAATCTAAACTGCTAAGTTGAAAATGCATATCATTTCATCTGAACCCTTTGTGACTTCATATCTTAAAAGGACGAAATTTTCCCGCTAGTCCACGTACTGATTTCATGACTTGTGTCATTATCCTCAAATCCTGATAAATTCTTCAAAAAGATGACAAACATTTCAGCTGTTTTTCAATATTTTGCATTGACCCCAATCTCTTATCAAAAATGTTCAAATTTATCATAAAAAACTGTTTCAGAGGACTATTGTCCATGATTCATTTTTTGTATCGAGGGATGGGCTAATATTTTAATTCTCTGCTGAAGATACTCAAATACACCAATTTTCTTAAAAGAAATAAAAAAAAACGTTGGAATTTCACAAAGTTTTTCATCAAAATATGAGCTCTCAAAGTAAAGTTTTTTTTATGGGCCTTGAAATCAGTAAGTCTTTGCTTTATATTGAGGTTGGAAAAGGGACAATTGGTCTCATTCGGTTTATAGGATATATGATCGGGGCCATTCTATATACAAAGTAAATCTAGCTCTTTTTAATATTTGTTTTACCTTCAGTGTTTTCCACAACAACGACATATACATTTCTGTTTTGGATGTTTCCTCTTTTTTTGTAAGACTGCAAGTAGGCATGGCATCATTAAACAGAATAAAATAAATTTTTAATCTTCAGAAAAACTATTTGAAATTTTTTTTATTGATGCACAGTGTACCTTTCGACATGTTTTCCACTGAAATCGTTTTCTAAAATGAAAGTATAAAAGACATTTGATTTATGATTTTGGTTTTATGCTGAAACACATGCACGTGAAGACAATGGCTCATGACATAAATGAAAATGTTTCAAACAAACTCAGATTCATAAACTCATACAGTTAGCAATTAAGAAGCCGAAATTATTAGATAAGTGATTACAAAAGAGGGAAAGCACTAGTACTGAAAGAGAACTAATTGTAAGACAGGTACTTCCGATCATAAATTCATTAACGTGAATGCATGTTTTAAAGATTATCAGTTCATTAGAAATTTAAGAAGAAGGCAATTGATTTCTTTTAAAATAAATAAATTTTGAGTCAGCCTCATTATGCAAACATTATTTCTGGATACTATTTATTTTCATAAGATACCATATACAAGGTCGCCCGCGTGGCGCAGTGGTTAGAGCGTCTGCTCTGGAGTTGCGAAGTAAGGGATTGATTCTTACGTCGCGGGTTCGAATCCCACTGTGGGACATGGAGACCGGTCCTTCGGATGAGACCGTATAAACCGAGGACCCGTGTCGCAGTAGGTGCTGGCACAAAAAGATCCCTCACTGCTCAATGGCCATAAGTGCCGAGTATAGGACAAACTTTGCAGCTCTCTACCGGCAAGTGGTGGCGTCTCCATATGAGTGAAAAATTCTCGAGAGGGACGTTAAACAGCATACAAACAAACAAAACCATATACAAGTACAAACATTGATATATCTGTTTAAAATATTGTAAAGGAATATTTAGATTTTTCAGTAGTTTTTCTTAATTACCTTTCATTTGCATTTTCATTTATTTAAACTGAAAAAAAAAAAATCTTTTTCGATCTGCAACAATGTCCTGATCGATGATCATCTATTTTGTGTGACGTCCTGCAAGACGTAATCTTCATTTCTAGTAACATAAATATGTTGTGAAAATTGAGATTATAGTAAAAGCAAATCACATAAAAAATTAAAGATTTATACTTACACATATCTTCGGAAACAGCATATTTCTAATTTAAAAAAATCAAATATATGTCAAAGCATTAAAATTTCAGAAATCTGAGCATATTTTGTAAATTCTTGCCTCTTTTATTACATATCCTCTTAAGGATGTCAATAGTTACACGTCCGGCACAGACAGCTAACAGAACAGTGGAGACAGATGCCAGTACGGGAATTAGAGGGGGAATTTCTGGAACCAGTTGATTTACCATTATATTAATCGAATACGTGTATCTTTATAAACATTTGCACTGTTTAATTCTATTTTATTGAAAATTTAACACTCAATAAATATAATGATCATTGCATTCTATATTTTGCAAAAATACATGTACAACTTGTTGAAGAAGATTTGCATAAGCTCTGCAGTGACTCGGGCTTCCCTGTAAGATATTGAAATGAATGGAGACTAAAGTTTTAAGGGTAAAATGTACTTTTATTACAAAACTTTTTTACTATTGACAATCTTCTAATTCAATGACTTTTGATGTTTTACTGTAAACCAGCTTTTATTCGCTTGTGATAAATATCTGGGAGATTTGCGGCCTTCTTAAAGTTGCGAATATTTATCGCCGCAAATTATTTATTTTAAAGGTTTCCTATGTCGAGAAAACTAATCGTCACGGATTAATTTTAAACTGCCGAATCGCGAATAAAAGATGACACGAATTATAGCTGGATTACAGTATTACGTACTTTCCTTTCATCTTACCTCAGTTAGACGGCCCTCTCTGTATCAATACTCTCTAAATTCAATAGCCAATAGGTCTCCGGTACATATTTCTGACAGTATGACGCTATGTTACATATTGATAGCTCTGTTTTATTTAACACACGTTTTCTTGACATGTAAGAAGTATAGCTCATCTTTATACAAAACTCGGTTGTAAAAATATATAGAATAACGCAATCAATTTCAAAATAACTTCCCGTAACATTAAGAATATAAAAATAGAAACGCAGAAATAAATAACCTATATATATATATATATATATATATATATATATATATATATATATATATATATATATATATATGTATGTGTGTGTGTGTGTGTGTGTGTGTGTGTGTGTGGGTGTGTGGGTGGGTGTGAAATGGCATTTGTGTTTTTGGTATTTTTAATTCCTTAGTATGTATGTAAAAAGTCTTTTCCTGTACATCTATATCGATGCCATTGATATTCGGAAGTACGCATTAACGGTGCAGAGTTGTTTTTCATACATCACTTATGTGTTTGAAATCTTATTATTAGACAAAGAAGAATCAATGCATAGTAGTTAATGTAAGTCATAGATATGTAAAACTGGAAAGTTTCAGTAAACAACTCAGAATCGGTTTGATAGAGGAAGTTTTCATGAATTTTTGAAAAATGTGGACCTGAAACAAAAACGTTACAACGTTTGTAAGACCTCATTTATGGTAATAGTAATAAGTGTTTTTAAATGCTAGCTTACAGATCACCGTCAGCCTCTGGGATGACTGAAGACCAGTTGGTACAACTGAGTTATTTGCCATACATATGATGGTCTTTCCGTTGTCCTCTTTGTTTACTGTAATGTTTAACATAGCATCCACAGTGTAAGTTTGAGTTAAAGAGTCCATCGTAGAGGAAACATACGTTGATTTTAAGTATGTTCCCCGGAATATCCACCATAGTGATGCAGGAGGACGACCCCAGGAAGATGAACACGTGACCATTATCTGATCGTTCTCCTTTGTATTTGGAATCTTGGCAATTTCCGGAATTGTCGGTCTCACTGAAAGAAAAATAAATAAAAATATGACATAGAGATCACACTTCACATTAAACTATAACGTAGTCAGAAAGATGCGCTGTATTTGTATTTTTGCCTTACACTAATTGATAATACGTCGTCAATATATCTAAATGTTGAAGTGAAGGCCATAATAAGAGACTTTTTTTCTTTTCAAGTAGAGGTTTTTGAATAAATGTTGTTTCAGGTGAATACAAAAACAGGTCGCATAATAATGGAGCGCGATTGGTACCCTTTGGAATTTTGACAGATTGTTGGAAGACATGATCTCCAAGACGCATGTAAATTGTTATCATAATTTGAAACAATTAGGAAACCTGTATTACTAGCCAACACAACTAAGAGAATATTTGATCATAATTGATTATACATAATGCAGTTTTCAAGAAAATGATATTTATGTCCTTGCACTTACGATCAAGGAATATCTGAACATTTTTTCGCATTGGTTGTGATAAACCTGGATTGTATGCAGTGCATGTGTAGTTCTGGAGGTCGTCGACTCTTGTAGGAATAAAGCTGTACAAAGTCCTATTAATACCAGTAACTAATAATGCAGAGCCTTTAAACCAAGACACAGTGGCGGGAGGATCACCGCCTGATGACTGGCATGACAGATTTAAAGGAGAGTCTTCTGTACCATGGACTCTTAAGGTGCCATCTTCATTGTAGGAATCAATGTCTATGCTGGAGGGAGGCACTATAAAAATACAGTTGAGTATTTACAGTTTTGAATACCTAAGGATCGAAAGTTACGAATAACACTTTTGAAAACTTAAACAGGAAAGACATCTCCACGTTTCGACTAATAAACAAGATGGGAACATCTTTCCAATAGCGTAGATATTTACAATATAATTTCAGGTATATTCTGTATTCTTTTGGTGGGATGGTATTTACATCACACGAGTATAGCCCCACGTCCTCCTCTTTGGTGATTCCTGTTGTTTGGAGATCGTATCCTCCTGTCTGCGTATTCCTCACCACTGTCAAACGTTCTCCTTTGGACACATTAGGGTTTTTCGCCTCATTAATAAAGTAGGTATACATTGACGGTGGTCCATTCCAAACCGTTCGTCCATTTACGTCTGGCGGTGATAAAGGGCATATCAATCGTATAGTCTCTCCTTCCTGACCATAGATGACAATACCACCTGATTGGCTGCAGACTTAAAAAAAGTTTAAATGACACTTCTTTGTCCTAAAAAATCATATCTAATTTAAATAATGTAACTAAAATCCAATGATATTTAAACGTTTTTTAAAATTTTGTTTTTTATAAAGTATATTTCTAGGAAAGCAGAAGAATAATACCTGTATAAGTCTTGAAAATCTGGACCATACCAATTGTAGTGTTAAATATATTTCTTGTTAGTAGTAAATCGTTGTTTTTATAAAATGTAAAAGGTTCTTTCAATGCAATTGAAATATGACAGGGAGGTTTCAGCAATGCAAAGTTGAAAATTTTAAAATAAAGCCTTCGAGGGGAATGAAAATAATAAATCCAACCCACAAGTTAAATAACCCTTACAGTTAAATAATATATATGGCTTTTCAACATAAAACAAAAATAAATTAGTGAGATAAAGCGCCACCACTGTAATCATCAAAGTTTTACTTTATTTCTCTTGTTTTGAACTAAGTAATCAAAATTTTAATCACCACGCAGTGCAGTTAAGGTGCCAAATGGAAATATCGGCGAATTTTTTTTAGATAGACAAATACATTCTTTACAAGGATGGACGTTTCTTTTTATGACTTTACTATTATCAGACAAATGTAATGTGGTTGAAAACTACATGTTGAGGACTATTAGATTTCTTATTTAGACTTGTCACGTGATGTGGCAGTCATGTGATTTTAGCAAATATACCTGAAGTATTGAGGTCAACTATAAATTCTAATATTGCAAGGGCATAACCAAAAATACATTTTTCATTGTATAAATATAACTTGATCCGCCTCTCACTGCATACAAACTGCGTCAAATTTTACGATATGACGTCACATTGACAAGTGCATTGCGAACAGTAAATTGTTTATATATTGCTCTGTGGGACTTAACCAACGACAATAATGCATGCACTAGTTAGTATTGATGTAGTTTAAAGCTATTCAACAGTTTAAAATAGCAGATCATTTCATTTTGTGGTACTTTGAAGAACTTATATTTTTTTGTGATGTCATAGTAAGCATTTCCCGTATAAATTAGGCACCGCCTTCTTACTGCAGCCTTAACTGTGCTGCGCAGAGAATATTTTTTTATGTGTACTTAGAGAGTAGGCTAAAATAAAACAAATGTTTTATAGACAACAAACACAATGTCTGTGTTTCTCGTAAAACAAGGAATACAACCGGAGTTTTCTTTGTTTTTAGGTAGCAGTTGTTTTAACAAATCATGTAATCATGATGGATTGTTATGAATCCATTACTGATTTTTTCTCAAGGACATAAAGGTCTTAAAATTGAGTTCATGGTTTGCCAACCTGATACTGTTGGTTTCAATGAGGTTATTATACATGTACGTATACTTTAAAGAGTTGTTTTAAAATTCTCTCATTGAAGATTACCCTTTTAGCTCTTTTATTCATCTAAAAAAACCAAGAATTACATGTATGCAGCTCATAAAAATAGATTGGGCAGCTATCGGTAAGAGGTACATTTTTTAAAAACCAACACATTCTCTATATCCCAGTTTTCCTTTTGACAAATCTTACGTGTTTTAAATTCAATATATTTTTTTTCTACGAGATCCTCAGCATTACTCTACATTCCTTACACATATAAAAGATATTATTTGATTACCAACTTCTTACGTGTACATACACTTCACTTTTATTTTATTCTAAAAAAAAAGTAGTGATGTCAGTAACGGATATTCATATACTTAACATATCAAATACGAAGTTAAAGAAAACGTTATAGAAGAGCCTGGAAACAGAATACATAAAACAATTTCAAGTATCTTCTGAAAATTGTACGTACCAAAACGCAGCCTAGAGACTTGAAGAAGAAAGGACAACACAAAAGAAATGAAAGACCGTGATTTGTGTACAATCTTATCCATCATCTTTTAATACTTGTACTTCCGTGTCTATATTTGTAGTATATATATATACATGTGTGTTTGTGAATGTGTGTATGTGTGTGATGAATAAGTGCGAAAAGAAAATGCATTCACATTGCGCACGCTATTAGTTGTCAATTTTGGTAACGTCAAAATGACGTTTTATGGGCAACATCAGAAATATAAGTTCCTTCCTGTACGAAATGTCCGCCCGGAACATAAGGGAAAAGAGGCGCACTTGGAGAAGGATTCCGGGCGTCAGTTTGTCTCACTACATATAAAGTGATAAACAGGTTCCAGGCCAAGAGGAAACCAAGCAGAATTGGACAGGAATTTGAGGCGAAAAATGCAAATGAGCTACGCACCGGAAAAATAAATGACACCTAGAAAAAAAAAAAAAACGCCTGGAAACTAAAATGCCGCCTGAAGGAGAATTACGCCTGGAAAGTCCTTCTCATTATATAATACTATGTGACCTAAAACCTATGTAGCGAAGAAAAGCAAAGTTATGATTTACAATGTTAAAGTAAAAAATCTAGCCTTTTTAACACATTGACAAGTCAGTAACATCTAAAATAGCATAGAAATATAATTTATGAAAGCCGTTTCATTTCTTTGCATAAGGGGCAATGAGACACCATCATGAGTGTAAAATTATATCTAAGAATATGACAAACTTTTTAAAATACATTTATCACGTAAATGATGACAATGAATCAAGCAAATGACTTAAAACAGTTCATGTACTCAGTACTTTACAGTTTGAGTGGTTTACTCTTGAGTGGAAGTTCTTTACAACAGGCCTTTAAAAGCACAGAAAAGCCATCCTAAATGTCAATAAATGGAAGATGAACCCAATCATTCTAAGAGAAATGGAGCAAAGTTGTCTTTGTTACAGAGCAGAAAGCCAGCGGGATTGTTAGTTAATCATCAAAGACAAAATATTGTTTATAAGGGTACCATATCAAATTTTACCTAGAAAAAAAAGAAAACTGACACATATTACAAGTTCTTATAATGGTTTATTGGCAGTCATGGCCACTGCTGCTCTCATAACTGCACATACAAATATGAAAACAGTTCTGAGGGGGGCCTGGGGACAGATGTACACCCGGAAATTAAAATAAAGATCATGTTCTTTAATACTTTTGAAATAAAATTAATTGTAAAGTCCAGGTGAGCACTACTTGTAAGCTAGACTATGCAGCAGATGCATATATGTAGTCTGCCTCACCAGTAGAGCTACCCCCCACCCCAACCCTCCTTAAACCTTAAACACCAAAATCTCTGACATACTCAAACTGTAAGTAAAAAAAGTCTTATGAACCTTTGAATAACCAAAACGTCTAATTAATTTTTTACCTATAGAGCCTGATAAACAAAAATGTCATTAATACTATTTGGCTTTGATAAACCGATTTAACTTAAATGAGTTAAAGCTAATCAAATTTCACAAATAAATCTTTTAATTTCTTTTAACTTTGTAATAATCGAGGTATCCAAGAAAACCTGGATGGGAAACTTTCTCAAAGTCCATAAAAACATTGATGAAAAAGTTTTCCATCTTATTTACCTTAGATACTCAATCAATAAAAAAAGCAAAATTTATTTCTTAGTAGGCCTGAGTATAGCAAGTTACCAAGCGATGTAATATTTATTTGTTTGCTTGTTTGTTGTTTAACGTTCCTCTCAAAAATTTTTCACTCATATGGAGACGCCACCACTTGCCGGTGGAGAGCTGCAAATTTTGACCTATATTCCGCACTCAGAGCTATTGAGTATTGAGGGATCTTTTTCGTGCAACATTTAATGCAATACGGGACATCGGTTTATACGGTCTCATCCGAAGGACCGGTCTCCACGTCCCACAATGGGATTCGAACCTGCGACGGAAGGATCAACTCCTTACTCCGCGACTCTAGAGCAGACGCTCTACCACTGCTCTACGCGGGCTGCAATCTTTATCACGATACGGTAATGCAATACAACATGTGTCAATAGAGTTATCAGTATGTATATCTTTATATTTTTTTGGTTTTGTCTATCCCCAAAGTAAATGGATATCTCGATGAAACCAAAGTTTATTACCGGTAAAGTTTATTACTGGTGGATTCAAAGTATTAACCTTGTATTCTCTTTTTTATCTACCTTGTCAGGTCTTACGTACTTTTTTCAAGCAAGACAATAAAAATTAACTTTTACTGTATCAAAATATACACCCACCAGACGATACGATATGTGTATCATACACCTTTTTGACCAATACATTTGATGTAATAATGTAAAACTGTATTGTTACACCTTTATTTCTTGATATTTCTCCTTCAATGATATTAATAAGCAAGAAAAAATTAATGGTTCGTCAACAGTTAACTTGTACGTGAATAATATAATGAATAAACAATTAATGTTTATATTAGCTATTTCATCACCATCTGCCGTTTGGAGCGCAATGTACTTGCAAATTCCTCAAAAGGCTTTTAATCCAAAGTTTAACGGTTTTATACATAAAGTTACTTAAAAAAATCCTCTTGACAAATCTTTCTAGATCATCGAAATTTAAGGTTTCATTTATTTGTCTATTCATCTAAATCTCTACAGTCTTCAAACATTTTCATTAAATAATAAATACA